GATACTTTACTATGCATATAAAAATTTTATACATATGTTTGTGTCTAACATTTTAAAAGCTAGGATATTACTTTTTTTTTTTTTTTTATTTGAAAGGCAAATTTAGAGAAAGAGAAAGAATCTTCCATCCATTGGTTCACTTCCTAGATGACTGTAATGGCCAGGGCTGGGCCAGACCAAACCCAGGAGTTAGGAGCTTCTTCCGGGTCTCCCACGTGGATGAGGGGCCCAAGCACTTTGGGCCATCCTCTGCTGCTCCCAGGTGCATCAGCAGGAGCTGAGTTGGAAGTGGGGCAACCAGAACTTGGACCAGTATCCATATGGGATGCTGGTGTTAATCACAAAACTGGTCCCCATAGGATATTACATTTTATTCTGCTGCTTTTTTTTTTTAAAGATTTTACTTATATATTTGAGAGGTGGAGTTACAGAGAGAGAGGGAGACAGAGAGAAAGGTCTTCCATCTGCTGGTTCACTCCCCAGATGGTTGCAATGGTCGGCGCTGCGCTGATCTGAAGCCAGTAGCCAGGAGCTTCTTCCAGGTCTCCCACTTGGGTGCAGGAGCCCAAGCGCTTGGGCCATCTTCTGCTGCTTTCCCAGGCACATTAGCAGGGGGCTGGATCTGAAGTGGAGAATCTGGGATTTGAACTGGTGCTCATGGAGGACTCTGGTGTCACAGGTGGTGGCTTAACCCATTGAACCACAATGCTGGCTCCTCTTTTTACTTCTAGTCTGGGTTTTGTGTTTACATATATATATATATATTTGTTTGTTTGTTTGTTTTTTGACAGGCAGAGTGGACAGTGAGAGAGAGAGACAGAGAGAAAGGTCTTCCTTTTGCCGTTGGTTCACCCTCCAATGGCCGCCGCAGCCAGCGCACTGCAGCCGGCGCACCACGCTGATCCGATGGCAGGAGCCAGGTACTTATCCTGGTCTCCCATGGGATGCAGGGCCCAAGCACTTGGGCCATCCTCCACTGCACTCCGTGGCCACAGCAGAGAGCTGGCCTGGAAGAGGGGCAACCGGGACAGAATCCGGCGCCCCGACTGGGACTAGAACCCGGTGTGCCGGCGCCGCAAGGCGGAGGATTAGCCTAGTGAGCTGTGGTGCCGGCCTTGTGTTTACATATATTAAAATATAGAGTTGTAAAATATGTAACAACACACTAAGGAAAATGAATAATCTTTCTAGTATTCCGCTTACTACTCTCCTTTTTCCGAGCATATGTGTGATCTTCCAACGCTTTCAGGTTTTACTCCTCAAATTTTAATTTTTTAAAAGACTTATTTGAATGAGATTTCCAACCAATGGTTCACTTTCCAAATGCTAGCAATGGTCAGGGGCCAGGAACTATATGCTACTCTGTACACGGTGGCAGACAGAAAGTGGAGCAGCCCGGACTTGAATCAGCACTCTGAGATGGCATGCCGGCATTGCAATCAACAGCATAACCTGCTGTACCACAGTGCTGACTCCACTCAGATTTTAGTAGTAATACATGCTCAACAGGAAGCTGAAAAAGAATTAGATAATAAACCACACTCACTTACAATCACAAAATCAGAGTGCAGGATGTGGGTATACACTTTTTTTTATACGACTGAGCTCTAACACACAGCTTTGTATTGTCATGAATCATGAAAACGTCCCATGTCGAAACCTGAAAGCACTAGTATTTTATTAGTACAAGTTCACATTATCAGCACAGTCCATAAAGAAAGGCAGTCTATAATAAAGTTTATAGTCTACAGTATAGTGGGAGGGAGAAAGAACATTTCATCTTAAAAAGACAAAAGGGCAAACTGCCACCAGATTTTAAGTTTATTTTAACAATTGAGGGAAAAGCTGTCAATAGTGAGTTCATAGCATATGCACAGGCGTATAATTGGGAAATCCTCCACGTAAATGCTTGTCACTTTGGGTGGCTAAATGAAGCAAATCGTAAGCCAACATTTCTCACTTCCTACATCAAACAAGCCCAGAGCCCTACAGTGGTCTTGGGCTCCGGCAATGGCTGCCCAAGTACCTTTTGACCCCTTCAGAGGCAGTGTCCTGGGGTTTCCCTATGTCCCCCAGGTGGGTCCCACACATGGACATAACTTGGGACAGCACAGCGATGGTTCTGTCCCCACCACTCACCCATCCTCTGGCATGGTGCTCAATCAATGGGTCACATTTGAACACACAAGTACACTGCTTGGCATTGTCAGTTCCAGGTGGGATCATACTATATACGTAGATTTCTGCAATTTCGTATTTCTAGATCTTTTACCATGGAGAAAATTTTGATTTTTATGAATTTTTAAATGGCTTCATGGTGGGCTCTGGAATTAAATAAAAGAATTTAAGCCATTTTCTATTGATGGACATTGGGTGTCCTTATTTACTGATTTTAAAAAGGACCCTATGTGTATTGCTGTATCAATTCCTGAGTGATTGCCAAAATGCTTTTAGTAGAGTTATCATTTTATACTCCCACAAAAATGTTTTCTTGTCCATATCCTCAGCAATTATACTAATCAAAATATAATCTTATCACAGTTTTCACTTGATTATTTTCATATGTTGTGTTATTGAGGACTTATTAATTCCTTTGTGAATTTGTTTTTAAAATTTTTATGTGATGTTCACCTTTTATCATTACCAGCATTATTATTGCTTCTAAATACTTCCCTGTCCCATACCTTTCTGTATTTCTTAGTATTTAAGTCCACGAGCCAGCTGGATTTTTTTTTTTTAACGTATGATGTGAAGGATAGAGGTAGGTTTAACTTCTTTCCCACATGGCTAGCCCACTGGCCAAGCATCCTATATCAAACAACCTCCTTTCTCCATTGGATACAGAAGGTCTAAGGAACAATTTTTCTTCTTGAAAATACATGCACCTGGTAGGAAAAATTGCATAAAAAATACAGCAAAATAGAATCAATTACTTACTCAATTTTCCTCTCTGAAGGCAACCCTATTAGTTGATGGTGTATCCTTTCAGATACATCACAGCATATGCCAGCCATAAGTGAAGGTGGGGCAAAAGGTTGTTTCCAAACTTTGGTTTTTTCAAACAGTACTCCTACACTGCAATGAATAATCTTATAAGAGGGTACTTTAAAAAGATCATGGGCCGGCGCCACAGCTCACTAGGCTAATCCTGCGGTGCCGGCACACTGGGTTCTAGTCCCGGTCGGGGCGCCGGATTCTGTCCCCGTTGCTCCTCTTCCAGTCCAGCTCTCTGCTGTGGCCCGGGAGTGCAGTGGAGGATGGCCCAAGTGCTTGGGCCCTGCACCCCATGGGAGACCAGGAGAAGCACCTGGCTCCTGCCTTCGGATCAGCGCAGCGCGCCGGCCGCAGCGGCCATTAGGGGGTGAATCAACAGAAAAGGAAGACATTTCTCTCTGTCTCTCTCTCTCACTGTCCACTCTGCCTGTCCCAAAAAAAAAAAAAAAAAAAGAAAAGAAAAATGGAGTTGAAAGAAGTTTATAATTAAAAAAAAATCCATGCATGAGAGGGCCTGCCAGAAGTTCATGGAAGGTGCATAGAACTATGCATGGACAAATATATTTTCATTTTTCCAAACTTCTTGAAGGTTTGCTGAATACTCATGTACTGCAAATTCACACAATTTTCCTAAATGCAAAACTACTAGGTCAAAGGATATGGGCAGTATCTGAAAGCCTGAGCTATACCGCCAAACTGCTCTCCAGAGACTGCAATACACCAGCGTAGCCCACCATCAGAATGGGAGTGTGACTATTCTTTTTCAAATTTCAGGGGATTCTGTAGGCTCTGATGCCCACTTAGCTTTAATGGTAACTTGGGCAAACATCACAGGAAAAAAATCTAATGGATGTGAAATTCATTACATTTTTTTTCATCTTCATTGTTCACTTTGTGGGGTTAATGACTAAAACAGTCCTCTAGAATTTATAATCTAGTGAGTTAGCTATAAAGTGTGCATAATGAATATATTGTAAAATAAAATAAACAAATACAACGCTCTAGGCAGCATAAGTGGTAACTTGGCTTGGGGTCATGTGAAGTAGGATAGAAGCCTACTGGGGAGTTGGAAAGCTGGATGAAAATAATTAGCTTATGTGGAAGATGAGAAGGGAGGAGGCAGTCTTGATGAGAAGTATGTGAGGAATTACAGAGAAGAAATATCACTCAAGGGGCAGGCAGAGTGAAGGGATTAAGATACTGCTTGAGATGCTCTCATGCCACATCAGAGCGCCTGGCTTCATGTCCCAGCTCCACTTCCAGTTTCAGCTTCCTGCTAATATGCACCCTGGGAGGCAGCAGAGGATGGGCCCTAGTACTTGGGTTCCTGCCACCTGTGTGGAAGACCTGAATGGAGTTCCCAGATGCTGATTTTGGCCTGGCCCAGCTCCAGCTGTTGCAGGAATTTGGGGAGTGAACTAGTGGATGGGAGATCTCTCTTTCTCCTTCTTGAATCACTCTTCATATTAACATAAAAAAAAAAAAAAAAAAGAGGCCAACATGATTTTACTCTTTTGGGGAGTAGGTTTTGTCGGGGAGAAGGTTGCTTCATCTCTATAACCTCTCCTGGTTCTTGCAAATATTGTGAAATATTACTAGCCTGAACAGTGAGAATCACAGCTCAACCTCAAGCCTTCCATATTCAGCAGCTTCACTAACACAACTGTACCCCTCTGAAAGGGAACTGGGCACAGAGATGCCATAAAATAATTCTATACAAGATAAAATCTGTTACTCAGCATTTTAGCAACCACAACTCAAACACTTCATAGTGACTCAAGATCCTAAAGTGACTTTTGAAATTAAACTATATGCAGTGAAGGCTAAACTCTTTAGGTTTTGAATAAACTTAACTAAAGTGCAATTTCGTTGACTGAAATGTTACCTGCTGGAGAGGTGGGTTCCCCCAGATTATTAGCCAATTGCTTGCTCTAACTGAACACTATTTTACCAGATTTCCACGCTGATCAAAAGTAATTCATTCTTTATAACAAGAACAAAAATGGTTCAAATACAAGGCTTTACCTTTATTTATTAATAAAGTGATCAATTATGATTTTTGAAGTAAGGTTGAAAATGTTTTGCATACATGTTAATATAGGTTAGGTCATCCAAAAGACAAAGCAGAGTTAACATCAAGTCATGGTTGACGATTACACAAATGAGAAAAACAAGCTGGTGGTACTTGGTAAGTAAAGACAACCAAAGTAAACCGTATTTCAAATTTGTTTATATAAAAGCATATTAAAGTTCCCTTTAAAATATTGTCCATCTTTCTTTTAAATGGGCATGGACTCCTCTGAAACCATGCACGTATATAATAAACAACTAATAGCTTTCTTAATCTTTTAATACAAATACAATTCCTTGCTTCATTATGTAATCCAACAAAATAACAGAGTGAAGTGATTAGAAAAATATGAATCTTTCTGTTTCTATATTGTATTTTAAATTTAAACTGGAAAATACAGTGCAGATAATATGAAATATATGGATTTCAGATTTACATATTACTTGTATCTAACTGATTATTAGATATGGTCTTTATTTTGGCTGAAATGCAAAAATATGATTAATTTCTTAATAACAGTTTAGTTAAAAATACTTCCCATTGATAGCAGTGCCAGTCTGAGAACAACATAAGCGAAATACATTTTTAAGTTACTGTCTATTCAGTGCCCCAAACAGGCAGGTCCTAACACTAAGCCCTTAAATACATTTGCTTTAAAGATAACTGAATGGCAATCTCACATGTCAGATAATCTTTAAACAATCCTGTAAACATTGTCAAAATTTGCTTTCTAACAGAAGTTCAAGTAAACATTGAATATTTGATTTAAACTAACCTTAGAGTCAAACTCATTTATAGCTACATATGTAAAAAGTTTTAAAAAAATCACCCTTATGTAAAGATGAAACCTAACTTTGTAAACATGTTCATTTTTAATACCTAATACACTACAGCTGCTCTTTGGTTTGGCATAGTGATATTGGTCTGATGCCTCAGGTACTGAGTATTCAAGTAAGTCTGTACCCAGGTATACTAAGTCTCTTGTGTAATTTTTTTTTTAATGGCAATGGCTAGACCTGAAATTCAACTTCATTTTCCTTGAGTATTGTCACCAATGTTCAAGTTTTTGAAGACCAAAGATAGCAATTATAAATTTTGGCAGGGTTTCATTTGGACCTTTTCCCACCAAATAGTTGAGAGCAATAATCAATACCAGTTGAAATACCAAAGAGGCAGCCTTTCCCTGATCCCCATACCATTTGTAGGCCCTTGATAAACGGTCATTATGAATAAATTTAGCTAAATATTATTAAGAATGCAGCAAAATATTGGCTGTAGATTAAATCAAAGGTAACTAAAATAAGAGTGCTTCATTGAACATTTCTGAAAAGGTTTTAACTGTACTATTAAAAATGATGTTAAATAACAAATGAAAAGAATCATGAAAGATTCTAATACCATAAAGGTGCCTGAATAGGTTAAAGGAGAAAGTTAAGTTTCCTCAGTTGTTAGCTGTACATGCAAACTCTTTGATCTAAATGTAACAATACTCACAAAAAGTACCAGGTGTTTCTGTACGTAGTCAAATCTGTTTATAGACATTTACTGTGTCCTTGTAACTTACAGACTGCCAAACTGAATTTACATTTTGGTTGGAAATTGCTATCTCTTCACTCATTCTGAGTTTCTTCTAGAATCAAGATTCACACTAAAGAAACGAAGGTGAGAGAATCCATAGTATCAGACCCTAAACTAGGTTTTCAAGGCTAACACATACCTTCAGTTCAAAGGGGGAAAAATAACTTTTAGAAAACCTAATAATAGATTAGCCAATGGAAATAAAATAAATTCTACAAATTTTATACCCAGAGTATCAATTATAAAGTTTAAGCTACATAAGGAAATTACAGAGCTGTCCCCTAGTATGTTGTTTAACATATGGATAGTACTTCAAGGATGTTTGTTAGGTGAATGAAAAGTGAGGTTATTTTGCAAAATTAGGTATCACAGCATGTTAGGAGTCATCCAGTCCAACTCATTCCAGAGCCCCTTGGCCCCTGTAATCTGATTTTACAAGAAGGAAACTAACCCTTAATAGTTAGAGATGCTGGTAAGATTTCTCCTTACCCACCCACTGGAAGCAGTGAATTGTTATGTGTATGTATGTGTGTGTGTGAGTGAGACAGAGAGAGAGAAAGAGAAACAGTATAAAGGACAAGTAACATTCCTGATCATATTATTCTAAATAGTTTTTTCCCTAGCTCAAGTTGCATCCCAAGTCACTGTTAAGCTGTTAAAAGATTACTGTAAAAATTTTCAAAATAATTTTTTGTTATTACTTAAATTGAAATTTGAAAGTCATCTCCATAGCGTGCTTTATTCTAAATAACTTTAGGATTGAAAATATTTCTTAACAGCTTACAATATACCTCCTATCTTTCCCTTGGCTTCTCTTCTAGCCATTTCCACCTGTTCACATTGTGTCCAATATCCCTATAGCACATGTGCCTTTGTTGTTCCCTGCCCATACAAATACTCCTGAAAGTTCAACCAAAAATAATTAAAAAGCAGAGGGGTTCCAAAATATTTCTTACACTTTCAAGTTTTCTTTAAGTCTTAGGCACACACTAAAACATTGCATGGTTACATGAATGCTCTTAACTAAGTCAATTATACCAATATGTTCTATGTTCTAAATTATTACATTTAGGTATATGAATCCTTCTGTTATTTTATAGCCAAAAATAAAAAAACTTTATTAAAAATGTTGAAAAGTATAAAACAGTAATTATAAATTAGCAAATACCCAATTAAAAAAAAGTTTTTTCCTTATACAGTACAAGCAACAGTAATTTTGATATTATTCACTCTCCGCCACCATCTGCCCTAGAAGTACTTAAGTTTTTACCTTGTGTTTTAGGAGTGAAAATGTATATGGATACTAGGAAACAACTCTAATAATGTAACTCAGGTATCAGGAAAGTAAGTATGCCATGTTAACACGTGGTGATAGCTCATATTATAGCATCTCATACAGGTAAGCGTTATTTCCAAAGTAAAAATTAAGTCACTTCTGTCGCTGTGAGTGTGCTGCACAAATGGACACTTAGGATTAAGGCATCGTTCTGCTCTGGAGAAGGGCTTCTGTAGATCCAGCGAACTGTACAAAGGCTTCCTTTTTTAAAAATATATCTTCTGTTATACTTCAATTATCTCATCCCATTGATCATTTTCTTGCAAATAAAATTGAAAATAGTCCACAATGTGTTTAAATACCTATAAAAATAAAAACAATTACTGATTAAAACTTAAGTTTTTATTTCTCAAAATATTAAATGGTTTTGTGGGCTAAAGTATAAAGTTGCTAATAGAATAAGACAGGAAATATGCTCTTTAATACTATGAAGATAATAATAAATAATTTGAAAGCATTAAGGGGATATCACTGACTTTCTTCTTTCCCTGAAGCATCTACAAGAGTATTTTAATAGGGGTGTTTTTTTTTTTTAATGTTTATTTTTTCATCTACTTGAAGACACAGTGAGAATGAGAGAGAGTGAGAGAAAGAAGAGGGGCAGAGAGATAGATCTTCCATCTGCTGGTCCTCTCTGCAAATATCACAACGGCCAGGAGCCCAGAACTCTATCCAGGTCTCCATGTGGGTGGCGGTGGCCAAAGCATGTAAGCCATCATCTGCTCTCTCCCAGGATGTATTCGTAAGGAGTTAGATTACAAGAGTTGCAGCTGGGATTCAAACCAGCACTCTGATACGGGATGTGGGCATCTTAGCAGCAGCTTAACCTGCTGTGTTTGCTCTTAAATAGTCCTCCCTGGCTGCTGACTCAGTCCTCACTTGAGGAGCCACGCTGTCCACCTACACTGTTCTAAGACTGCTGTTAAGGCCTGAAGAAGTTCCCATGGCAACTGTTGGAGGCGTTTCAGCTGAGGAGACTCAACAACCACAAGCATCACGGTGCTATATTCCGCCTACATTAAGAAGCAATGCAGGACCAGGACTGAGGACCACAGTCACAGTTCACAGGGGCATGAAACTGACTCATGGTCACCACATTCAGCTTCTACAGCTTCTCTTCAGACTCAGCTCACTCTGCCCACAGGGACTGATCCTGTCCTAGGTGTCGATTCTAACTCGGGACACAGGTCTTGTAAGGACCTGCCTGCTGATAACGAGCCCTCCTGAGGTACAGCCTGAGGCGCAAGATGAGATTCCTCTGGAAAGCAAACCCCTGGCATTCAGGAATGGGCATGCCAGTAAATGCGTCATCCTCGCGCACGTCTGTGGTCTCCGGTTAGCAGTGCTCTGCTGCTGGAGCCTTCACAAACTAAGTAACATCAACGAATCACAGGTCGTTTCTAAACCTTTAATATTAGCCACTCTTCTCTGGATGCAATTTTTTTAATAGTGGGCAAATTCCCTTTTATTCTTGAATAAATGAATAAGATGCTGAACAAGTTAATTGTCCAAGCACCCATCTTAAACTCTATTTATTAGTTTTTCCATTAATCTACCAACAAATATTTACTAACATTATTGTACAAGTGGTAAGAAAATGAGACTTTTAGCAGATGTCATCTTCCAGTTTCTCCTGTATTGCCTATTTTTGTTGATACAACTGAAAGGTTAAAAAAATAGAATGGCATATTGTTTTGAGACAATGAGATATGTACATAAACTACATTTGTTCAAGAAAATTACCTTTATACTGTCTTACCTTGCTGCTATTCAAATGGTTAGTTATGAACAAGAGGTACTCAATTTTCTATTGCCACTGTAACATGGTTATTTGTCCCTGTAAGCACACAATTATACCGTGACATGACAAAAAAAGAGAAGTATTCAGTTTCTGGGTAAATGGTAAAACTGGTTACAGTGAAAACAACTACAATGTAAAACACTAAACAGGATTACGGTCCTTACCACTTATCTTCTAAAATCCAGAAGTGAGTACAGAGCATCAGGGGTCAAAGGCCTGGTTTTGATGCTTAGCCTCATAAAGATATTCATTGGCTTTAAACATGTTAAGTAGCAATAATTAAGAAGTCTACAAAATGAATTTTTGCCTTCATCCTATGCAAGGGATCTAATGATCTTAATGAAGGGCCCAAGATAATACATTAAGAGAACATTTTAAATGCTGCTAAAAGGTCAACACAATCAAATTCTCATAGCAAGTTCTTTATTATCTAGGGTTAGTACAAATTGAATGGAATGTCTCAGATCATTTTTCTGCATTGCAAGATGATGATGACAGTGTTACTACTATTACCATTAAGAACGACCTCAGATGTATTTAGGCTGTAATATAATGCTAAGTGTGCGGCTACACAATACTGCAAACCCTGAAAACTCCCACTTCAGTTTGATCAATTACTCCATGAATCCATGATTCGTGAAATGATTAAGAGTCTTCAATAAAAGGTTAAAATATATTCAGTATACTTTTTTAGCTAAGGCAGCAAGAGGACAGTGTTTTTCAAAAATTATTTTCAACTAAGAAAATGCTAACCTCTAAAGAATAATGTTGACTAAAACATTATTCAGAACAGTCAGTGCCAAAGGAACTTTCAGCATGTGGATGAAGAACGTGTGGATGGGCAACACGAAAGTCAGCTGCCAGAATAAACCCCATCACTGGGCATCAGACCCACCTCACTCTGTCTTCTTTCTCCACAGAAGCTACCTATGAACACAAACACCCTATATCTAATATTTATTAAAAAGTTTCACATGTTTTAGTAACTTTTAGTATCACATTATTTTGATTTTTCCACATTTATTAAATCTGTTGATTTGCACTTGAACCAGAAGCAGCAGTGTTTTCAAGTGAGAACTATTACCTGATCTGACGCCTTCTTCAGCTCCATTCTCCAGCCACTGAGATTCATTGTCCAACAAACGGTTTTTTGATTCACTAAGTGGTTTGATAGGAAAAGGTTGATTTGAGCCACTACTGAAAAGAGGATCAAGTGGTTTAGTAAATAGCTTAGTGCTCAATTCAAGATACTTAATAAATTAATAAGCAGGAAATTAGTATTCCTTCTCCTAAATATGTGAGGGCAACTCATGAGATCTCAGCACTACGAGAAACTATCTTCCAAAGAACACTATGCCCACAATCCCCCGTTAAATGGCTCTCTAGACCCAGGGATCTACACTTCAACACTGCCAATGAAAACAATTAGACAAAAGAAAAGAAGCTTCAGAGGCCAGTCTGAATGCTCATAACAGGTTAATCAGGAGCCATAAGTGAGTGCGAGGACAGGTGAGGATCTATGTCTGTGGCCAGTACAAAAAAATTACCTGTCATTTCCCAAGTTTTCTGCTTTCTACCTCTGCAGTTTAGATCTAAGGGGAAAAAATGATTCAGTGATTTAGCGTAGACTTATTTTTTCTAGCTAAGAGATCCAGGAAGGAAGGAACAGAAAAAGGAAAGGAGGGGGAGAGGGAATAATATTTGTTGGGTCCTCATTATGGGCCAACTACTGTGTAAGTGCTTTGTTATATGATCTGGACTCTCAGAGCCACCTTTGGAGATAGGTATCATTCTCTTGGTTTCTAGAGGTGGAAAATGAAGTCAGATGTTTAAGTGACCTGTTTAGAACTGTAATAAATGTAAGAGCTCAAAGGCCCAACACCTCAGGTTGTAGATTCTAAGGCCTGTGTTCTTCCAATATTAGTAGGCTAGCCTGGACTTTACAGTCCTTCCTCCCTTATGGTTTATTTCTGTGACAAATGTATCTCAACTGCTTTACTTGGACAGAACTATTTCCAGCTTCTTTAAAATTTCATTTAAATTATTTTGCTGAATTTGTGAAAGTCTGTTTGCCATGACAATACTGAGAAAATTTCCTCCAAGACAGATGAATTAATAAGAAAAAAATTAATATTCTCTAATGTTATTATTATTGACATTGCAGTTTGAATCTATCAGATAAACTTTAAAATAAAAGAGTGATCAGTACAATGACTCATTTCTTTAAAAACATGTAACTGATAATATAAAGCAATGTAATAAAATGCTGGGAGAAATCCTAGCTGTTAGGAAGATATAGCATGTTTAGATGCTCTTAGTAGACATTTTCAGTTTTATGTGATTGTCTTGGCTCAACTGTTAATGCACTCACTAGATAAACATTCTCTTTCCTTTCTCAAAAGTAATATTTTGGGGATGATAAAAAAATATGGTTATCCTATATGCACACATTAACCCTCCATTAAAAAATTTAAAGAGAATATTTGTTTTCTGTTAATGTTGGCTGGCTGAATGACTTTTACATTTACCTAAAATATAAGTACATCTAACATGTTACAGTTTGATTTACAATAAACACTGAAAAACTTAAGGACAAGAAGCACACCTTCTGGGAAATTCATCTTGGTTTGCAACAGAAGCTTGTTCTGGATCCATCCCCACAAGGCGAGTTGGAAAACTGCAACCATCACCCAAGCTACATAATAGGAAATATTAACAACGACTTCAATTATATTTGTATTAAGTTAATCAAAGCAGTCAAATTTAATACTTGTATTTCAGAGTCATAGCTTAAAGAAATTATCACAACTTGTCATTTTAGAGAATAATTTCTAATTTTAGAGGGTTATTTCTACCATGGAAGACATAAACCCCTTTCTTTTATATAGTTTACATATATTTAGAAACAAAGTCTTCCATGCCTATTAAGATTATGATGCCTGTTAACTCGTGAAACACAGGTATTCAAATATTTGGGTAACTGAGCTGCTTAATCATTTCAGACAGCACACAGGCTCAGATTGAAAGATGTAAGCTCCACATATTTATTCATTTAACAACATTCATAAAACAAAAATTTACTGAATGTCCATGAGGTTCCGGTACTGTCTTAATCATGAATGAAACAGCACTGAACAAAGAGAAGAAAACCTCTTTCAGAAGCTTACAGTTTAAAAGAGCACAGGTATCCCCCCTCCTTTTTTTTAAAGTTTTTAACACAGTCTTTTTTTAACAGACTTATTTGAAAATCAGATTTACAGCACGTGAGGGAGAGATAGAGAAAGAGGAATGAGAAGAGAGATCTTCCATTTTGCTGGTTTATTTCCCAAATGGCTGCAATGACTAGTCCTGGGCCAGACCGAAGCCAGAAGCCAGGAGCTTCATTGGGTCTCCCACGTGGGTGTAGGGGCCCAAGCACTTGGGTCATTCTCTGCTGCTTTCTCAGGCACATTGGCAGAGAGCTGGATCAGAAGTGGAGCAGACAGGACTTGAACCGTGCCCATATGGGATGCTGCCACTGCAGACAGTGGCTTAACCTGCGGCACCACAGTGCTAGCCCCGACTTACTTTCACATTAAAATTTTTTAAAGTTATTTTTTATTAGAGAGAGAGAGAGAGGGAGAGGGAAAGAAAGAGAGGGAGAGACTAAGAGAGAGCTCCCAACTGCTGGATCACACTCCCAAATGCCCACAATGACCTGGGCTGGGTTGGGGCCAAAGCCAGAAGCCAAGAAGTCAAACCAGGTCTCCCATGTGGGTAGCAGGAACTCAATCACTTGATACAACACCATTGCCTCCCAAGGTGTGCAATTGGTAGGACACTGGAGTCAGGCATCAGAGCGGGGAATTAAGCCCAGACACTCTGATAGTGGAATGTGGGCATCTTAACCACCAGGCCAAATACCTGCTCCTACTTTCATGTCTTATTTATTTTACTTTTTAAAAAATTTGTACATTTGGACAGAGAAGGGAGAGAGATACAGAGCATGACACAGAGAATGAGCGAGTGAGAGAGACAGAATAAATTACCAGTAATTCATGTCCTATCCAGTGGTTCATAACCTAGATATCCCCAACAGCTGGGGAGCCAAAGCTGGGAGCTGGGAACTAATTCAGGTCTCTCATGTGGGTGGCAGGAACCCACTGACTTGCGCCATCACCTCTCCTCCCAGGGCCTGCATTAGCAGGAAGCTGGATCAGGAGCCAAAAGCAGGCATCAAATCCTGGGACTCCAACACAGGAAGTGGGGGACTTAGCTAGCATCTGAACTGCTAGGACAAACACCCGTCCCATACTTTCAGATTTTAAACACACCAAAATTGCATATGATAAGGACTTTTACTTTCAGCCAAAATGGAATGGTAAAGTTACATGTCAATGGAAATAGCCAGAAACTGAACAGTATAGAGAAAAACCTGTTTTCAAAATAGGTAACACAGAACTGTAGATCTGAGAGAGAAGGAAAATAAGCCAGTGAATCCCAGCTTTCTGCAGGGACCTTGGCACTGGAAGGGAACCAAGCAGAGCAAGGGGGTCTCACACTGAATCGAGGTGACAGAAGGGCAATGTGAGGCTCTGAGGCGCCTTGGCATCTGAGACACAGTTGAGAAAGGGAGATATGCAGAGAAATAACTACATAAATCTGTACAGTGTTGTCCTCGAGTCTTTTGATGAATACGAGGCTGCGCTGGTGATATGGAAAAAAATTGGAAAGCAAAAGATGTACAATTCACAGAGTTCCCACAAAACATTCAAAGCTGACCAGTCACAGCAGAAAGATCTAGCTGAATGCATGGAATTGGTAGAGAGCCCCCTACTGCAGGGCTAAACGAGCCCTGGTGAAAATGCTACCCTGGATCCAATCCATAAAGCTTAAAACCTGTCTCAAAAAGAAGAAACTGAAACACAAGTAACTTAACTGCCTGTCAAGACAAAATTCAACATTCTTTAAAAGGAGACAATAAAACTGATACCCAGCTTACAAGGATCATTCAAAATGTCCAACGCCTAGGGGCAGGTGTTTAGGCTTAGCGGTTAAGATGTCCCTTACGACACCCTGATCCCATAGTGGAGTGCCTGGGTTTGATTTTCGAATCCACCTCCTGATTCCAGCTTCTGGCCAACTGCAGACCCTGGAAAGTGACATGTGGAAGTACAAGTGGTAGCTGGGTTCCTGCCACCCATGTAGGAAACCTGAACTGAGTCCCTAGCTCTTGACTTTGGCCTAGCCCAGTCCAGGCTGTTGTGGGCAACTGGGAAGTGAACCAGCAAATGGGAGCTCTCTTTCATCTGTCTGTCTGCCTGCCACTCAAATGAAAAAGAAAACGAAAAGTCCAGCATTGAGTCAAAAACTGCTGACAAGAAAAGCAGCAGAAACTGTGATCCAATGCTAAGGGAAAACAAAACAAAAAAACAGCCAATAGAAAAGAATCAAAAAGTTATCAATTTCAGTAAAAGTTAGCAAAGAAGACTAAAACAGCAATTATAAATGTCCATGGATGAAAAGAAAAAATGATATTATGAAAGGATAAGTGTAAGGTATTAGGAAAAGAACCAAAATTAACTTCTGGAGCTGAAAAATACACCTGAAATGGGAAACATACTAGATGGGCTGACCACCAGATTAAGTGCTACAGAAGTGGTCAGTGAACTTGTAGACATAGTAGCAGCAATTGACCAAGCTGAGGCAAAGAGAAATGACGATGGGGCTGGGAGAGAAGGACAGGGCAGCAATGACCTGTGGGTCACTACCAAGCAGTTTTACAGACACGTGTTTCAGAGTACTGGTAAAGCTGGCAGCAAGCGGATGAGAGGGAAGCACGCAGAAAAAAATCCTGAAGATAAAATGGATACAAAATTATTCAGATCTGTTGATCATTATAGATTTCACAGATCCAAGAAGCCAGCCTAAAGAACAATCACCAAATAACTGCTTAAAACCAGTGACAAAAATAAAATCTTAAAAGTAGTCAAATCTTAAAAAAGGCACAGTAATTTACAAACAGTAGAATAAAGATAAGAATGAGGCTGACTTGTCAAAAACAAGATACACCAGAAGATATCAGAATAAAGTCGTTTAAAGGAAGGGACCCCTCATCTTCCCCAAAAAACACCCTATCAAATCTGGATTCTCTGTTTAGAGACAATAGCTTTCACAGTAGAAGAGGGCCCAAATCCCTAGGCCCTGCACCCATGTGGGAGACCCAGAAGAAGCTCCTGGCTTCAGACTGGCCCAGCTCCGGCAGTTGCAGCCATCTGGGGAGTGAACCAGCGGATGGAAGACCTCTCTCTCTGCCTCTCCTTCTCTCTCTGTGTAACTGTGACTTTCAAGTAAAATAAATAAATCTTAAACAAACAAACAAACAAACAACAAGAAAACAGCTTTCAAAACAAATAGTCTGGTGTTCCAACCAGTAGGAGTGGAAAAACCCTGAATACATGAGACAATGGAGAAACAACATAGAACAGATTGTAAAAGTCAGCAATAAAATGCACACAAAATGAGGTGCAAAAACAACTGAACAAAAATGAAGAGTACGACACTGAGCTGTGCAAAACTTTGAACTTAATACATGTAGAACTGGAGTTCCTACAGTAATGGCAGGGGGAGAAGACCACAGAATGAAAAATTATAATTACAGGTTTTTTCAAATTTGATGAAAGCTATAAAAACAACAGATACAAGAATCTCAACCAATCCAACTACACCAAAGTATGTGACAAACTGTGTGAAAACAGGGATAAACAAAAGTCTTAAAAGTAACCAGAGAGAAGATAAATTTTATATAGAGAGAGGGTAAAAATATGTGTGATCATTAACTTGCCATTAAAAAAAAAGCCAAAAGACAACAACGCAACATCTAGAATTCTATATCACACAACAATATCCTTCAAAAAATGAAGGCAAAATAAGTCAGTTTTAGACAAAAATAAAAGGCAGTTAATTAAGATGAAAATCCCCCAGAAACTCATGAAAATACATCACTTGAATTAAAATAATCTTCCTTCTCTATGATTTTGGCAGTTTAAAGGCCTAAAATGGCTGGGAATTAGGGAGATATGGAAACCATGAATCATATGGAATACATATTCTTTCACACTTGAGTTAAAATACATTATGCGTTTGTCTTCTTTGATTGAAGATAATAGAATGCATATGAATCTGCAAAGGAATCTTTGTGAAGCTAATATGTATAAATTCTTGTAGGCTTTTACTTTAAACAACTTATTTTCATTTTGAAGGAAAAAGGTGATTCTTACTTTTTATAAATCAAATTTATTTTTCTACTTTCCATTTAAATACTTCTGTTCAAACTCTCCCTTTATCTTATATAAAAAAGAGAAAGTAAAATATTTTATATAAAATCAAGATATTCTGAGTTTTCATTCTAAAGGCCCATTAGAATGTCATTGTATATTCTATGAATGTTAAAATATTTTACCAGAGAGAGAGAACACAGATTTCATATTTCCTGAGATCTGCATTTTGTAAGTTACCTTGAAAATACCGGAAGCAGCCAATATTTCTTTTCATCACCAAATACTTGTCTCCAATTTTTACTGTATCCAAGAGAGAAACCATTTCCATCTGGTCCATATGAAAATGTGGGTGCACGGAATGATTCTGTTAAAAATAAATATACATAAAAACCTAATTATTAATTACTAAATATAGAAGGTACTCATTTTCATGCTTATATCTCTAACATTAAAAAACATAACTTTTAACTATTTGTAGAAATTAAAAGATAAATTTCTGAGATTCATTTGGGAAAAAATAGCATATTTGCTATTTCTTTTTATTTATTTTATAAAGATTTTATTTATTTATTTGAGAGGTAGAGTTATAGACGGTGAAAGAGAGAGACAGAGAGAAAGGTCTTCCTTCCGTTGGTTCACTCCCCAAATGGCTGCAACGGCCAGCGCTGCGCTGATCCAAAGCCAGGAGCCAGGTGCTTCTTTCTGGTCTCCCATGCGGGTGCAGAGGCCCAAGCACTTGGGCCATCCTCCATTGCCCTCCCGGGACACAGCAGAGAGCTGGACTGGAAGAGCAGCAACCGGGACTAGAACCGGCGCCCATATGGGATGCCGGCACTGCAGGTAGAGGATTAACCAACTGTGCCACAGCGCCAGCCCCTTATTATTTTTTCTTAAAGATTTATTTTTATTATTTGAAAGTCAGAGCTACAAAGAGGGAGAGAAAGAAGGAGAGAGAATGATCCTTTACCCATTGGCTCACTCCCTAAATGGCCTCAATGGCCACGCCAAAGCTAAGAGCCAAGAATTTCATTTGGGTCTCCCTCATAGGTGCAGGGTTCCAAGCACTTGGGTCATCCTCTGCTGCTTTCCCAGGCACATTAGCAGGGAGCTAGACTGGAAGTGGAGAAGCTGGGCTTCGAACTGGAATGCTGGCACTGCAGACAGTGGCTTAACCCACCGTACCACAGCACCAGCCCCATTTACTCTTTCATCAACCATATGGAATAACATGTCAAAACAATTAATATTACTGAAACTCTGACAAAGGTTATGTTTAATATAGCTTTTATACACACCATTTTAAAAGATTTATTTGAGAGAGAGACAGAGAGAATGACAGAGATATCTTCCATCCACTGGCTCACTCCCTAGATGGTTACAATGGCCAGGGCTGAGAAAGGCCAAAGCCAAGAGCTAGGAGTTTCATCTGGTTAACCCAAGTAGCTGAAGACACCTAAGCACTTGCGCCATCCTCTGCTGCTTTCCAAGGTTATTAGCAGAGAGTTGGATTGGAAGTGAAATAGCCAGCACATGAATTGGTGCCCATTTGGGATGACAGCATCATAGGTAGTGGCTTTACCTCTGTGACACAAGGCTGGGTCCTTTAATTATACTTTTAAAAAGATATTCTTGGCCGGCGCCGTGGCTCAATGGGCTAATCCTCCGCCTTGCGGCATCGGCACACCGGGTTCTAGTCCTGGTCGGGGCGCCGGATTCTGTCCCGGTTGCCCCTCTTCCAGGCCAGCTCTCTGCTGTGGCCCGGGAGTGCAGTGGAGGATGGCCCAAGTGCTTAGGCCGTGTACCCCATGGGAGACCAGAAGCACCTGGCTCCTGCCATCGGATCAGCGTGGTGCGCTGGCTGCGGCGGCCATTGGAGGGTGAACCAACGGCAAAGGAAGACCTTTCTCTCTGTCTCTCTCTCTCACTGTCCACTCTGCCTGTCAAAAAAAAAAAAAGATATTCTGTAGTCATTATTTATAAACTTCTATGTTCCTGATGGCACAACATAAGGTAATTGGTATCCAAAGACAAACTACTACAGGAAATTCTCCCAAAGTGTCTAACAAAACTAAAATGTAGTAAGCATTAAAATAGTGATGGTAGGGGTCAGTGTCGTGACACAGCAGATTAAGCTATTCCACTTCCCATCCAGCATCCTGCTAATGTGCCTGGGAAAGCAGCAGAAGATGGCCCAAGTGCCACCCATATGGGAGAACCGGATGGAGTTTCAGACTCCTGGCTTCAGCTTGGCCCGGCCCCCACTATCACGGCGATCCAGGGAGCAAACCAGCGATGGAAGATCTTCCTCTCTCTGTAACTCTTTTAAATAAACAAAATAAATCTTAAAAAAAAAAAAAAAAAAAAAAAAGAGTTGTGGTAGACTATGCGAACAGAGGTGAAAAATCCTATGCTTGCCTGGATAGGGACATGTATATCTTTTTTTTTTTTCTTTTAAAGATTTATTTATTTGTTTGACAGGCAGAGTTAGAGAGAGGGGGAGGGAGAGAGAAAGAGAGAGAAGTCTTCCATCTGCTGGTTCACTCCCCAAATGGCTGCAATGGCCGGTGCTGTGCTGATCCAAAGCCAGGAGCCAAGAGCTTCTTTCAGGTCTCCCAAGTGGGTACAGGAGCCAAGAACTTGGACCATCTTCTACTGCTTTCCCAGGCCATAGCAGAGAGTTGGACCAGAAGAACAGCAGCCAGGACTTGAACTGGTGCCCATATGGATGCCAGCACCACAGGCAGTGGCTTTATCCACTAAGCCACAGCCAGCCCAAACATGTATGTCTTAAGGGTATTGGAGGGGGTAGCACTTGAGCATGAACTTCAGTGGTGAGCAACAGGAGAAAACAGGGGGGTGATTACAGACCATTATTTCTAGCTTGTTTGTATAAAACGATACACAGAATGATGTCTAACAAAAGACCCCTTTTAGTCACAGAAAAGTTTTGCTTCCTTATTTAAAATTAAAATACAGGAGTGGGCATTTGGTTTAATGGTTCAGATACCATGTCCCTCATTGGAGTACCTGGGTTAGACTCCTGCCTCGTTCCTGACTCCACCTTCCTGCCTGTGCAAGGCCTTGGGAAACAACAGTGATGGCTCAAATTATTGGGTTCCTGCCACCCATGTGGAAGACCTGGGTTGAGTTCCTGGTTTCTGACTGTTGGAGGCATTTGGGGGTTGAACTATAGGATGAGAGTGCTCTTGTTCTGCCTCTCGAATAAACAAATAAATAAAATAAACAGAGGCTGGATTGTTGTGCCGAAGGTTAAGCCACCACTTGAAATGCTAGCAGCTCATAATGGAATGCCAGATTGAGTCATGGATCCTCTGCTTCTGATCTGACTCCCTTCTAAGGAGCATGCAAAAGCAGAGGATGATGGCCCAGGTACCTAGGCCCAAACAATCCATCTGAGAGACCTGGATGTAGTTCTGGGCTTTGGCCCGGCCCAACCCTGGCCATTGTGGCTATTTAGAGAATGAACCAGTGGGTGAAGGTCTCTTGCTTTCTCTTTTTCCCTCCCTCCCTCTTCCCCTCTGTTACCCTGCCTTTCAAATAAAGAAATAAATCTTAAAAACAATAAATAAATAGAATGCACTGTAGCAAGTTTTACAAGTGAAGGGTAAGAAAAGCTTCTGCACTGCAAAGGAAACACTCAACAAAGTGGAGAGGCAAGGACAGAATGGGAGAAAATATTTGCAAACTATGCAACTAATACAGGATTAATATCCAGACTCTATAAAGAGCTCAAGAAACTCAACAACAACAAAACAAACAATCCAGTTAAGAAATGGGCACAGAACAGGAAAAGGTATTTTTTAAAGGATTAAATATAAATGGCCAACAAACACATGAAAAAATGCTCAGGATCACTAGCCATCAGAAAAATCCAAATCAAAACCATCACTTCTAATTCCTCTAGAAGTTCTCACAACTGAGTAGAGTAGAGAGAATGGTGAAAATCTGGAAAATCTCTTGTGTGTCGTAAGTGAGGAACCTGGCTAAAATCATGTAACATGACAGAGTTAAGGGCTTCAGAGAGGTCTGAGACCTTAAGCCTGCAGCTGTAATGCTTTCTACGGGATTTAAGATTTCCTTGATCACCTTTCAATAGCACTATACATGCAAGTAATGTGGGTAGTTGGATAATGGAAGAAAACTGTTGGAGAATGGAGACTTAGTGAGTTAAAAAAGGAAATACATCAGAGTACTGAAAAGAGAGGGCAAGGGCTGGTGTTGTGGCGCAGCGGGTTAAAGCCTTGGCCTGAAGTGCCAGCATCCCATAAGGGCGCCGGTTCGAGTTTCGGCTGCTCCTCTTCCAGTCCAGCTCTCTGCTATTGTCTGGGATAGCAGTACGATATGGCCCAAGTCCTTGAGCCCCTGCACCCATGTGGAAGACCTGGAAGAAGTCCTGGCTCCTGGCTTTGGGTCGGCGCAGCTCCAGCCATTGTGGCCATCTGGGGAGTGAACCAGCAGATGGAAGACCTCTCTCTCTGTCTCTCCCTCTCTCTGTAACTCTGTCTTTCAAATAAATAAAATAAATCTTCAAAAAAAAAAAAAAAGAGGGAAAAAAGGATAAACAATTGTGATGAAAGGATGGAATATTCAGGAGCTGGTGTTGTGGCATAGTGGGTTATGGTCTCAGCTGCTCCACTTCTCATCCTACTCCCTCTAATGTACCTGGGAAAGCAGTGGAAGATGGTCCAAGTACTTGGGACCCAACATCCATGTAGGAGACCCAGATGGAGTTTCTGGCTCCTGGCTTTGGTCCAGTCCCAACCATCAGGGCCATTTGGGGTATGCACCAGCAGATGGAAGATCTCTCTCTCTCTCTCCCCCTCCCCCCTCCCTCTAATTCTGCATTTCAAAAAAAAGAAAGAGAAAATGGAATATTCAAACAAATTTTAAAGATTTATTTTATTTATTTTAAAGTCAGAGTTACACACAGAGAGAAGGAGAGTCAGAGAGAGAGAGAGAGAGAGAGGTCTTCCATCCGCTGGTTCACTCCCCAATTGGCCGCAACGGCTGCAGCTGTGCTGATCTGAAGACAGGAGCCAGGAGTTTCTTCCAGGTCTCACATGCAAGTGCAGGGGCCCAAGGACTTGGGCCATCCTCCACTGCTTTCCCAGGTCATAGCAGAGAGCCGGATTGGAAGTGGAGCAGCCGGGACTCAAACCGGCACTCATATAAGATGCTGGCACTGCAGGCAGTGGCTTTACCCACTATGCAACAGCGCTGGCCCAAATTTAAAACTGCATCTCCAGAAGCTCTTCAGTTCTACAGGATTAAAAGACTCAACATGTGGTTGTAAGAATTATAGGCCACTTGAATCAAAGAGACTAACTTGCCAATTTGGGACAATGGAATTAGTTGAATAGAGGAACTCATTAAATGTGGGCAAATGATTTCAAGGTGGGTAGATGACAGTTATAGGGAGGTGATAGTGGTTGGTATTGTGGCACAATTAGTTAAGTCGCTGCCTCCAATGCTTGCATCCCATATTGTCACTGGTTCATGTCCCAGTTGCTCTATTTCTAATCCACCTCCCTTGCTAATGCACCTGGGAGAGAAGCAGAAGATGGCCCAAGTACATGGACCCCTGCCACCCATGTGGGAAACCCAAAGGAGTTCTAGGCTCCTCCCTTCGGCCTAGCCTAGCCCTGGCCACTGTGGCCATTTGGGTAGTGAACCAGCAGATGGAAGATATATCCCTCCTACTCTCTCTGTAGCTCTCTGCCTTTCAAATAAATAAATATTTTTTTAAAAAAGAGGTGAAACAGGGGCTGGCACTATGGCCTGCAGTACCGACATCCCATTTGGGCACCAGCTCGAGTCCTGGCTGCTCTACTTCCAATCCAGCTCTCTGCTATGGCCTGGGAAAGCAGTAGAAGATGGTCTGAGTCCTTGGGCCCCTGCACCTGAATGGGAGACCTGGAAGAAGCTCCTGGCTCTTAGCTTTGGATTGGTACAGCTCTGAGCACCGTGGCCATCTGGGGAGTGAACCAGAATAGAAGAACCCTCTTTCTCTATCTCTCTGCCTCTGCCTCTTTTTAACTCTGCCTTTCAAATAAATAAATAAATATTAAAGAAAAGAGAGGATATATCTGAATAAAACACCCTCAAATGATAAAGAACAAAAAACTGAATGCATCAGTAGAAAGCTAGCCAAACACCCAGGCTGTGGGAGATGAAGCAATAAAGGAAGTGGTTTTAGTTTTTAAGGCAATGTGTTAATCAAACTGTGGGTTTTAAAATGCTAAAGCATTTAAAATTTAATATTAAATTTTAATGTTAAAATTTAATATTAAAATAGGCCATAGAATCAATTTTGTGGCCTGAAAGCTAGGAATGGAAAAACAACTAGAATAAATTTAGCAATGTTTTGTGAAATTTTTCCCACTTTATTTTCACAATTTCATAAATATGTACTTATATAACAGGTCATGATATAAAATGATACTTCTCTTACTGTGGTCATTAGCAAAGAAGTTTGAAAAAGAGTGTTCAAAGAGAACAGAGAGTTCCCTAGAAGTGCCTTTCAAGTTCTTCCCAGGGAAACAGGTAAAGCAGGCATGGTGGGAACCGTGGCAAACTGAAATGTGCATGTCCCAACCAAAGCAGCCAGCTCCAACTGACAGATGTCAGAGGGGAAAATGAGCCCATCATTACCAGATTTACTCATTTTGCAAAGACAAAAATCTGGTTTTCTATATAAAGTCTCTGTTTTTGCTGTTGTGAGAGGTCTTCTGGGCTGGACCTTGCATGCAGCCTTTTTTTTTTTTTTTTTGTCATTTCTGACTCAGGGTAAGGAGATAGCAGGATATTCTGTGAAGAGTGTAGAAAAGTTAGTTAATAGGTAGGAGCAATTTTATTTATATGGAAAAGGAATGAAGATGTAATGGAAATGAATGAGACTCTAACAGTGGAGGGTGACCTAGGGAAGGAAGGCCAGAGAAATTCGTATGTGGGAAGCCCACTAGAACTTAGTGACTCAGTAAGACACAAGATTAAAGGGATCCAAACATAAAATTATCTAAATGTCTCCCTAAGACCTCTTCCTTCCAATTCTCCTGGCAGATACATGGCTTTAGATAGAGGTGGTTTTTAACTTCCTTACAAAACATTATACCAACAAATCCTTATTCTGTACCTTGGTACACTGGTAGATACACAAAGATTCAATTATAACACAGGATGCTGCTTCCATGCCAACACCTCATGTAAGCAAAGCCACCATCATCTTTGGGAAATGTTTGTCCAATTACTTGAATACATTACTGAAGTCTTCCATTATATTTTCATTTTAAAAGAATGAACAAAATAGAGAAGAAATTCTGATACTAGTAAATGACAACTGATACAAAGACAAACAATGATGTATACCAAAAGCACTATTCTTTGGCCTCAAATATGGAACATGTGCCAGTCAAATGTGTCACTGTGGGGAGAAAAAAGTAAACAACATGTATGAAATATATAGTTGATATGTTATAGCTAAAATTAACTAATTAAGGATCCAACCTTTTTTTGGCTGAAAATGAGCCTCACAATAAAGCATTTGAATCTATCATAAACTGATTTTTCAAAAGATACTATAGATAAATATAGATGTAGGAAACAGATTTTCTTCATAAAAATAAGAAATATTATTAATGAATAATTTATTTAATAAATATTTTATTTATTAATATTCCTTATTTATCCAGTCATAGTTACTTTTAATGAAAATTACTTTATACTTTATCATCTGACTATTGTCCTATAGATTTCACCTTCATTTGTGGTTATTTTCCTAAGTAATTATACATTTTTAAAAAATTTATTTATTTATTTGAAAGTCAGAGTTACACAGAGAGAGAAGGAGAGCCAGAGAGAGAGAGGTCTTCTATCCGCTGGTTCACTCCCCAGTTGGCTGCAACAGTTGGAGTTGTGCCAATCTGAAGCCAGGAGCCAGGAGCTTCCTCCAGGTCTCCCACACAGGTACAGGGGCCCAAGGACTTGGGCCATCTTCCACTGCTTTACCAGGCCACAGCAGAGAGCTGGATCAGAGGTGGAGCAGCCAGGTCTTGAACCAGGTCCATATGGGATGCCAGCACTGCAGGCGTTAGTTTAACCTGCTATGCCACAGCACCGGCCCCAGTAATTATAATTTATTTTAACCTACTTACCTATTGTTGTTCTGTTTTTTCCAACTAGCCAGCAATGGTAGCTGAAAAGTGAGAGGACGCTGATGAAGAACATTGCAGACACAAAGAAAAGAAAAAGTACGTGGAATTTTGCACGTGTATCTGTTAGTTCATTCTGAGGAAAGATAAAAGAAAAGTTACTTTTGAGGACAATCAACCTCCAAAAAATAACTTATACATTGCCCAATATCTTATTGAATCATCTAAAAATTTCCCAGGCTTAAAGAATAATAAAACAAATTAGATAATACATCCCAAAGCAACAACTGCAAAAGCAAAGAATTGGTATTATTAAAGCAGGTTGCTTATCTAAGAGGTTAGAAAGAGTCATTTTAAAGTTATTCTTAAACATTTAAAGATATTATCATTACTTTCAGTAATAAATGAAAAGATGGACTCTTCTACCCAACATCTTTCTTTTGTGGTTTATGCAATGAGCTTTTCCCAACATGGAAGATACACAAAGGTTCCCTTCATCTTTGCTAAAGTATTTACTTATTTTAATTATATATGCTGCTAAGTCATATTTAAGTTTTATTTTTCTAATAAAAATCCGTATCTTCAGAACACCATTGCAAAGCTACCCAGGCCCTTAGATGCTTTGATTCCTACTTTTTTATTTATCCTTGTCTCATTTCTATAAAGCCTTTTTAGGTAATTGGCAATTGTGATAAATAAATTTATTAAAAGGTATTAATGAATGAAAAGAGTTTCTCTGTTATCCCTTCTTATGGCTACACACATTTTTCAGAAGCCAAGTTTTAACCTAAATGAAATTAGTATCTATCAATAGAAGGAAGAGGGAAGCTTTAAATGTTAAAGTAAAATGATTCAGAAAATCACCTACCCCACCAGAACAAGAGAACAAGAGGCTGTCTTGTTGACTTAAAAAGTGTTCCACAGACTAAAAGGAAGGTTGTTGGTACTAGATTATCCTAACATTTCTCTCTTTCTTTTTCTAAGTAACCACTATACTCTCTAAACACATTAAGTGATTCTTCTCTATTGCCATCTTGTGAAGGAAACTTTTATGAAGTATATTCATTATAAATGTCACAAAGAGATCATGAGAATGTCATGGCAATGATGTATTTTACCTTTGGACAATTCTCTGTAGATTTCCTGCGGCAAAGCTTGTGCAAATAGAGACAATGTATTAAGAAACCAGTTTTTATACAAAAGTACCCTGAACATGAGGTTCTATAAATCCTTTATGTTCTGAAGTAACACTAAGAGGTGGCTCTCTAACAACCATCTAAAACATTTTCTCACAAATCAAAAAAGCAGACAAGAACATTTAGCTTTTCAAACACATTTCAGGTACCCTTTAATTACACAGTTCCCACGAAGTTTTTAAACAGATATTTTCTAAGAAAGAATAAAATGTTTTAGCAATTATTTAAAAAACTTCTGATTGGTAGTTGCCAGAAAGTAGATCTGATGACCTCTTACCACCCTTGTTCCTCTGGGACACTGCACAGGAGCCCGTGACGCCTGCTGGCTGCTGTCAATACTCGCCCTGCCACCAATTCTCTGCTCCGCAAGCACAGTGATGCTTCTACAGGTTAGAGTACATTACTCTTGGGCTCAGCACCTAAATCTCAGTAACTAAGCCACTGCCCCTCCAACATTCCCCAAAGCCTTGCGTCACTTGTGGCCCCCACTCCTTCAGTCTCTGTCTTGCTCATTCTTCCCCCTACAGAAGCCTCCTTGCTGCTGCTCAAATAAGCCAGGGACACCTGCCACTGTCCCCTCTACAAGTGCTCTTCTCTCACACAGCCACTCTTCTCCTTCAAGTCTTTGCTCAGGTCAAATCCTACCTTCTTCAAGAGGACTCTTCTTAACACTGTAATCTGGGCCACACTCCCTTAGCAGGATCTACTTTCGTTTTTTTAATTTGACAGGTAGAGTAATAGGCAGTGAGAGAGAGACAGGAAGAGAAAGGTTTTCCTTGTGTTGGTTCACCCTCCAAACGGCTGCGCCGATCCGAAGCCAGGAGCCAGGTGCCTCCTCCCCGTCTCCCATGCAGGTGCAGGGCCCAAGCACTTGGGCCATCCTCCATTGCCCTCCCAGGCCACAGTAGAGAGCCGGACTGGAAGAGGAGCAACCCGGACCAGAAATCAGCGCCCATATGGGATGCCGGCGCCACAGGCGCCAGCCCCAGGATCTACTTTCACTATGTCTCAGGAGTCAGCTCTGCGGATGGCGTTAAGATATTCGTGTTCTTCCTAGCTCCGGCTTCTCATTCTAGCTTCCTGCTAAAAGGCACCCTGGGAGGCAGCCACCTCTAGTTCTTGAGTCCCTGCAACCCACGTGGGAGACCTAGAGTTCTAGGCTCCTGGCTCCACTCAGTCCAGCCTAGTCATTGTGCACATTTGGGGAGTGAACCAGCGGGTGGAGTGTGCTCTCTCTCTAATAGAAAATTCAAAACTGTTTAAAAGTTAGCTCTGCAAAGACGGAACTGTTTGTTCACTGATTCAAGGGTGCTTCAAAAAGTTCACGGAGGGGCTAGTGTTGTGGTGCAGAAGGCTAAGCCACTGTCGGCTGTGCCGAGGAGTCCCGGCTGCTCCACTTCCAATCTAGCTCCCTGCTAGAGAGCCTGGGAAAGCAGTGGAGGATGGTCTAGGTGCTTGGGCCCCTACAACCATGTGGGAGACCCACATGAAGCTCCAGGCTCCTAGCTTTGGTCTGGCCCAGTCCTGGCTGTTGCTACCCTGTGGGGAGTGAATCAGTAGGTGGAAGATCTCTCTCTCTCTGAAACCTAGGCCCTTTTTTTTTTTTTTTTTTTTTTTTAATATTAACTTATTTATTTGAAAGGCCGAGTTACAGAGAGGCTGAGGCAGAGAGAGGTCGGTTTTCCATCCGCTGGTTCACTCCCCAAGTGGCCGCAATGGCCAGAGCTGGGCTGATCTGAAGCCAGGAGCCAGGAGCTTCTTCAGGGTCTCCCACATGGGTGCAGGGGCCAAGGACTTCTACTGCTTTCCCAGGCCAAAGCAGAGAGCTGGATTGGGAGTGGAGGAGCCGGGACTCAAACCAGTGCCCATATGGGATGCTGGCAATGCAGGCAGCAGCTTTACTCGCTAGGCCACAGTGCCCTGAAACCTAGCCTTTCAAATAAATAAAATAAATCTCAAAAAAAAAAAAATGTGGAAAATGGAATTAAAAGACAAGTTTATTTTGGTGCAAAAAATTTTTGAAATCTATACAGTTTTTTTTTTTTGTCCCCATCAGATACATATTGTATATCTTAAGTCCCTAGATACTGTATGGCACAAGTACAAAATAAATATTTGTGGCATGAAGGAAGAAGATAAATTCAACTTTACTAGTCTTACTCATGATGAACCTTAAAAAGTTAACACCTGGTATTAAATACCCCAACTTTAAAAACCTAGTGAGTTTTTAAAAGTAAATATCCTTCTGACATGTATTAGATACTTCCTGGAAATATAACTGTGCTTGATGATGCAGGTCTTTAATTATGTTTTTCCCAACTGTAACTATATGAATGGCAAGTTACAGTGGTAAATATGTAGGTGTTGGAACAGACAGACCTAAAATTAAACTCTGCCTTTCTGTACTCTAGAGCCTGCTGAAGTTACTCAAGCTGGCCAGTGCGACTGTTTACCCTGCCTCCCTGCACAGTACTGCTCTGGCCTTCGCTCCTTCCACCTCCAGAACTTGACCCCAGCGCTTCCTGTCACCATGTGCTCCCTTCTTTGGGGCCTGTGAGTAGCACACTATCTTTTCAGTGGAACTATATCCTCTGATCTGTCGGCTTCACCATTTATTACCTGAATAATAATATTAAGACCTACATTTTTAAACATCTTCATAGGGTTTTTAGAAAGAGTAAATATGAAAGTACTTTTTAACAACATAACATGTCTGGGGCCAGCGCCAGCAGGTTAACACCCTGGCCTGAAGCGTTGGCATCCCATATGGGCACCGGTTTGAGGCTCGGCTGCTTCACTTCTGATCCAGCTGTCTGCTATGGCCTGGGAAAGCAGTAGAAGATGGCCCAAGCCCTTGGGCCCCTGCACCTGCGTGGGAGACCCGGAAGAAGCTCCTGGCTCCTGATTTCGGATCGGCGCAGCTCCGGCTGTTGCAGCCAATTGGGGAGTGAACCACTGGATGGAAGACCTCTCTCTCTCTCTCTCTCATTCTGCCTCTCCTCTCTGTGTAACTCTTTCAAATAAATAAATAAATCTTTTAAAAAAGCCAACATAATATGTCCTTCAAAATCAATGATTTAAATGCAAAGATGAAAACAAAAGTATCAGAAGGAAACATGGATGAGTATTTAATAACTTTACACTGAATAGACCCATAAATAAAAATAACTGCTTTAAACATTTAAACTTTGGTTACATAAAAACAGAACAAAACAAAACAGGGTTAGAATACACAAAAAACAAATACAGAAAACATGCTTGCAACCCACTTCAGAAAAAGGCTTAATATATTTAGGTATTTCTCATGTACTCTGCATGAGTCCTATGTGCATTGCAAATATCTTTTTCCAATTTGTAGCTTACCTTTCATTCTAAAAGTTGACTTTTTATTAACACTCATAATTTAGAAATTATTTATTTGAAAGGCAGACAGACAGAAAGAGTGAGAAATACAGATTAATCTTCCATTCTCTGGATCACTCCCCAAATGTCAGCAATAACCAGGGCTGGGCCCGGGAGAAGCCAGAAGCCCAGAATTCAATCTGGGTCTCCCACATAGGTGGCAAGGACCCAGATACTTACATTCTCTACTGTCTCCCAGGATGCCTATTGGCAGGAAGTTGGATGGGAAGTGGAGCTGAGACTAGAACCCAGTGACTCTGACATAGGACACAGGCATCCCAAGCAGTGACTTAACCACCATGCTAAACTCTTGCCCCAAAGCTCTTAAATTTTAGTGAAGTCTAATTCATTGATCATTTCTTCTATGGTTAGCAATTCCTATGTTCTTTTTAAGAAACCCTAATGAGGCCAGCACTGTGGTACAACAGGTTAAGCCACCATCTGCAGTGCTGGCATCCTATATGGGTACAGGCTTGAGTCCTGGCTGCCCTCTTCCAATCCAGCTTTCTGTTAATCTGTCTAGGAAAGCAGCAGAAGATACCCCAATTGTCTGGGGCCTGTACCCACGTGGAAGACCAGGAAGAAGCTCTTGACTCCTGACTTCGGCTTGGCCCAAGCCCCAGCCCTTGCAGCCATTTGGGGAGTGGACCAGCGGATGGAAGATCTCTCTCTCTCTGTAACTCCGACTTTCAAATAATAAATAAATCCTTTTTTTTTTTTTTTAAAGAAACCCTCACACACACCAAAGTCCAGAATGAATATTAGTACTGTTAATATAAGAATAGGTCTCATATGTAAATACAAAAGTCTACTAGAAAAAAAGGGCAAAGAACACAAACAGGAAGTTCATACAAAAGACAAGTTAGTGGTTAATGAGCATACACTTAAGGATAGGCAAAATAAATTAGATTTTTCTCATAAGTTAACAAGCTCTGAACTTCAGAAAGGGAAAGGATAAAGACAGGGATGTAGGAGACAGACAGTCTAAACCATGTTTGTGATTAGGAGTAGGAATGATTTAAAGCACAGTGAATTGGGAAAAACAAAATCAAAAACATATACTGAATGCTTTCTATGTATCACATATTAACACTAATCTTCACATCAATCCAGAGACAAATATTACTCCAAATTTTAAAAATGAGAGAACAAAAAACAAATGTTTACATATCTTGACCGTGGCCTATTCCTTCACTCAGCATACAGTCAAAACCTACTGTGAGCCAGGCGTTTTCTAGGTGCTTGGGATACATCAAGGGACAGAAGAGATAGTAATCCTTGCCCTCATGGAACTTAGACCTTAGGGAATAAAATAATTTTTAAATATAAAGAGGCTACTATTTTTTTTGGTAATATGCAACCCTGATTTTAGACTAAGGGAATTAAGGGAATAACATTTGCTCAAAGATGAAATTAACTTTTCTAGCCTGGCAGCTGAGAGGTTAGCATAGATTTTGTTCTCATTAAATCAGATAAACACGGGATGAACAATGGACAGAGAAGATAATGAGGTTGGTTTGAGAAATGCTGATTTTTATGATGCCTTCATGTCTGATGGTTCAATAAATAGCAAATGGTAACTGAGCACAAAGGCTTGGACAGTGTCAAGAGCTAGGGCTAAAGAGACTGTGAAAGCCACAAGGGGACAAGGGGACACGGGGACACGTAAGCACCCAGAAACACATTACAGAGAAGCAAGAAAGTGGCACCGAAGGACAACAGCTACATTTAAGGAGGCTGACAGGGATGGGATGGAAATCAGATATGGGATGAATAATATTTTGAAAGGCAGAGAATTTTAATGGAGATAGTTTTATTTTAAAATGCACGAGTAAAATCAAACAATGCCAAAAAGCAATTAAAGAAAAATAGCAGTTCTCTGCCCGACCCCTGAGTGGCAGTTAACTTTCAGGGCCTCTGGTAGTTTCTTCTATATATTTACATATTAAATTTATATATTTCCATAGTAAAAAATAAAAAATTAAACCGAATATCTAATTTTAATGGATTACTATTTGTACATGGTATACAAAATTTAACAGGTAATGGTGAAAAGCATGTCTCTGTAATTGTCCTTCTTAGAAGCAAATACTGTCAGTGATTTTTTAATGCATTCTTCCAGAGAAGACATATACAACTATATATTTGTGTTATTTTTCTGTAGAAATTGAAGCATGCTGTAAGCATTCTTTCGTGCCTTATTTCTTTTACATGTAACACATCTCAAAGATCACTTCACATTATTTGTCATAAAGGACTTCCTTATTCTTTCTTAAGCAACACTGTAGTCTTCTGTGTGTGTGTGTGTGTAAAATAATAATTTAGTCCCTTGTTAATAAGACATTTGATTTTTTTTTTCAATTACTAAACATGAAAAACAATGCTTTAGTGTTGTGGCACAGCAGGTAAAGCCACCACCTGTGATGCCGGCATCCCGTATAAGTACCGGTTCATGGCTGAGTTGCTCCACTTTCGATACAGCTCTCTGCTAATGGCCTGGGAAAAGCAGCAGAAGATGGCCCATGCTTGGGCCCCGACACCCAGAGGGAGACCTAGATGAGGATCCTGACTTCGGCCTGCCTCAGCCCCGGACATTTCAGCCATCTGGGGAGTATACCAGCAGGTGGAAAATCTGTCTCTTCCTCTCTAACTCTGACCTTCAAATAAATAAGTCAGTCTTAAAAAAACAAACAATGCTGTAAATTTTATAGTCAGGAGGTAGATTAATGGTTGCATGGGGCTGTGGATCTCACTGTCACTACTGTAAACTGCAGTAAGACGCAGCAACTCCAAGAGTAATTCCTGTCTTAAAACTGACGTTGTTATTTGGGTGTGGCTGAAAATAACGGGCCACTACGAAAACTTCCACTTTTGTTTAATATACATTAACTTACACCTAAATGTGTATCTGAAGGTAAATGTAGCTGTCTGCTCTCTGATCCATAAACTCTCACTAGCAGAAGTAAAGTATATCCACTTGAGCCGGCGTTGTGGCATAGCAGGTTAAGCAGTGGCCTGCGATGCCAGCTCCCTGCTAATGCGCCTGGAAAAGCAGCAGCAGATGGCCCACCTGGGAGACCTGGGGAGAGTTCCAGGCTCCGGGCTTCAGCCTGGCCCAGCCCCAGACATTGCAGCCATTTGGGGAATAAGTAGCAGATGGAAGATCTCCCTCTAGTTGTCTCTCCCTCTCTCTCTGTAATTCTGCCTTTCAAATAAACAATTTTTTTTTTAAAGTATATCTACTTGTAACAAAGAATCAAGTAATTCTTTAGGAATATAAACATCTTAAGAAAAAGTCTCAAATACATGTTTAAGTAGAAAAAGACTTACCGTCCAAAATTTAATAAAGTACTCTAAAACCGTTGTAGCCACAAAAAGGCAATATAATAAGGAATACAATAAAAACAGCATGAAGAATTTGTAATTAGAAAATCCCACACAGTTATTCACCCTAGAAGAATAAAGAAAGTCACACTATAAAAATAAGAAAAATTACAAATTCACAGACATAGAAAGCAGATGAGAGTTGCCAAGGGCTGGTGGGAGGGGTAAGGGGAGTTGTTTAATGAGAACAGTTTCAGTTTTATAAGAGGAAAAAGTTCTGGAGATTTACACAGCAGTGTAAATATACTTAACACTATTGAACTGTATATTCAGAAATGGTTAAAATGTTAAAATTTATGTTTTTTTAAACCATAATAGAAAAAGAAAACAAATCAGAAAACTTTTATCATTATTACTTGGAAGTAGGTCATTTAGGAAATAGGGAGTAGTGTCTTAACTGTGCATGTGTGTTTTTAATAAATTCTATAAAGAACTTTGGAATTTTAGTGTTAATACTTAATACACTGCTATTAAGGTTAATAATATCAGAAGACATTTTTAAAGGAAAATATTTAATATAAATACTCTTCTATACATACATATATATGTATATAAGCAGATCAATCTTAATACCTATAAGTAATTAAATCAACCTTTAAAATTTAGGAACATTGAGATAAAACACTCTAAATTCTCTCCTTCCCACCTTTCCATCCCTTATACATGAATTTTATTTTATACATACCAAGGACAGTGATGATCCATCTTAAGAATACATCTAAGAAACAAATAAGCATAAGAAAATTCATGCAGAAAAAGCTTCCTAATACTAATTTTCCACATATTTTTGTTTGACTTAAAATTTCCCCTTTCATACTGTATTTCAGAGAGCCAGACCAGAAACATCAGGTTAGGGATAATTTCTGGTATTTCCACAAGTATCTCAGAGGTTATGATTTTTCACACTGGGAATTCAACTGAGAATTTCCAGTTGTCTTGGACTGTATCCAATGACTTTAATTCTCAGATTTGATGGGCAATACTGGGGCACATTAGATAGGACCAGCTTACAAACTGGCTGAAAGAGGTGCAATATAATACAGATGTGATCCTTATGCTATTTTAAACATGTGCAAGTCATGAAAATACAACTAGAAGCAACTATGTCAAAATACTAACACTAATGAGCTTATTTTTAATATTTTATCCTATGGGTAAGAACTGCATTTTTATAATAAGGAACAAAAGCAAACCCAAAATTTGCCTCCCTACTATTATATGTATTCTACATTTGTATAAAGTTAGACCACAAATCACCTCAAATAATGTGACAAATTAGAGGGCTAACACTCAGCAGTCAAGCAGCCTGTCTAACCAGAAATCAAATTCACAAATCAAAGATTCACAAAGCAAAGATCTTTGAACACACTCATGACCTTCTCACACAGGTAGGAATGCTATACTCCTTCAAATTTTTCTGAGAAAACTCACAAATGGTAACTGAAGATAAATACTTTAGTGGATTTTTGGGTTTTAACTATAAGCATTAATAATAACAAGAAAGAGGCCAGTGCTGTGGCTTAGCAGGTAAAGCCACTGCCTGCAGCACCAGCATCCCCAATGGCACCATCCTAGCTGCTCCTCTTCCAATCCAGCTCTGCTATGGCCAGGGAAAGCAGTGGAAGATGGCCTAAGTGCTGGGGCTCCTGCACCCACATGGGAGACCTAGAAGAAGCTCCTGGCTTCTGGTATCAGATCTGCTCAGCTCCTGATGTTGTGAACATCTGGGGAGTGAATCAATGGGTCGAAGACCTCTCATTCTCTCTGCCTCTGTCTCTGTGTAATTCAGCCTTTCAAATAAATGAATAAATCTTTTAAAAATTATAAATAGGGCATCTTCAAAAAGTTCATGGAAAATACATACTATGAAAAATTATTGCATGGATTCCAAAACATTTTAAAAATCAAAATGAACATTTTTAATGCCATTTTTTCCACAAATTTTTTGAAGTACTCTCATGTTTAAGCATAAACATAGAAAGTATATTTAAAGTTAAAATTCTATAAACTGGTAGAGAAACTGTTATCATCAAAGATTACTTCTGGGAATATTCTACTTTACATAAATATTTTTGTTAGCACTGTATGCATAGCAAATAATGAGGGAAAATGATGTGTTTTTGATTAAATGTTCCTTCCCCTTTCATTCTCTTGTCACTAATCTCCAGTGCGAGGTTTAGATGAAAACAAATGAGTGAGGAGCACTTACGTGTCACAGGCTGAGCAGTGATGTGCCCGGTCAGGTTTAATCAGCTGACACTTTTCACAGTATCTGATAGCTACAGGAAAGGAGTCAAAGGAAGATGTTGACTATAAAACTTGATTTTTAAAAATAAACAACTCTAGGAAACTAACAACTAATAATTTTAAAATAATATCAAAATACACCAGAGAGCTTGTCAATCAAAATGTTAAGAGATAGATGAGGGGCCGGTGCTGTGGTGTAGAGGGTAAAGCCACTGTCTGCAGTGCTGGCATCCCATATGGGCACCCGTTTCAGTCCCTGCTGCTCCACTTCCGATCCAGCTCTCTGCTATGGCCTGGCAAAGCAGTACAAGATGGCACAAGTCCTTACCAGCTTGTGAGATTTGGACAATGAACTACTCTGTAAGAGCATTAATTTCCTAATCTGTTAATAAAAGTATATCAAGTGGAAATGTTATTGTATTAAAACCAAATCTGGGACATCAGATTTGTGGGGAGCAGCTCGGACTAGACTGTTACTGGAATTAAGACTTATTCTATGCATCTGCTCTCCCACAATATGGCGCTGGGAGAGAAGTAAACAGCTTCCGCACAGCTGCCTCCAGTTCAACCAATTAACTGTAGGACTTGCTCCTGATTGGAGGAGAGCAGCGTACTCGGCGTGTGGGCAGCCGAGTTGGGATTGGCGGAGGAGGACTATAAAGGAGGAGAGAGACGGCATGCACCAGGAACATCTATGGGGAACATCTAGCTGAAGGAACACCTGTGCAGCCCCCCAGAGAGCCGGCCGGCAGTGTGCCGCTCCCTCGCGGAAGTGGGGAATGTGGCAGGGGGAACTGCCCTTCCACGGAGGTGGAAGGGACGGCAGCCAACCCGGGAAGAACCAGCAGCAAACCCGGGGAGGGCCGAGCAGACAAAAGAACAGCGCAGGGTCCTGTGTCGTTCCTCCACGAAGACGGGGAGCGACATAATGGTGCCGTGACTCGGATAGGAAGCCTAGGCAGGGTTCAGTGTCGTTCCTCCACGAAGAGGGGGAGCGACATAATGGTGCCGTGACTCGGATAGGAAGCCTAGGCAGGGTTTAGTGTCGTTCCTCCACGAAGAGGGGGAGCGACATAATGGTGCCGTGACTCGGATATGAAGCCTAGGCAGGGCTTTGTGTCGTTCCTCCACGAAGAGGGGGAGCGACATAATGGTGCCGTGACTCGGATAGGAAACCTAGGACGGATAGGAAACCTAGCTCGGATAGGAAACCTAGGACGGATATGAAACTTAGGAGGGAAGAAACGGGAAGAACTGGGAAAATACCGGAGGGAGAGACTAGCAAACAGCCTAGGGAAAAGCCGGACGAAAAAGGAGCCGGAAGAAGCTATTGAAAGCCTAGGCATAGACTCAGATACGGACTACGGGGGGAAGCTGGGAGAAATCTCTAAGGTCGAAAGCGAAAGTGAAAGCTAGAACAAACAGACTCGGACGCGGACTGTGGGGAGAGGCCAGGAGAAATGAGGGAGGAATATCGTTGGAGGAAAGCTTGGGGAAACATACCGGGTAGAGAAAAATGTTAGGGAAATTGAAGCCGCGGGGGGCAGGCCAAGGCGGACACGAAAGCCACTTTGGGGTTCTCAAGTTAGCCCGGGAATAGGGGGCGAAAAGTTGAAACTAGAAGCTGAAACGTGAGCCTGGTTGGGATCCGTCTGATTAGCCCGGGGAGCAAAGGACGGGAAGCCAAACCGTGGGGCGGAGACGTACGCTGGGTTGAATTCGCCAGGCTAGCCCGGGGAACTTGGATTGAATGCTAGTGGTGGAGACGCAAGCTACACTGTGTTACTCGCGGAAGCCACCGCGTGCAGAGAGAGCACGGGGCGTGAATAGATAGGGAACGCTGGCGTAGGCCGTGGTTCAGACGCGAAAGGGTTAAGCGTGGAGACCGCGGAGCGCGCGAAGCCGAGCCGCGCAAAGCCGGGAAGCTGCGTAGATGAGAGAGGCGCGCGGGCTGAAGCGGCGCAGAGCCGGGAACCCGCCGGCGGGGCGAGGTGCCGGAAAGCTGCGGGGATAAGAGAAACAGAAGTTTAGAAGTAAAAGAGAAATAGGAATGTTGGCAGACAGAAGTAAAATGGGAGAAATAGAAATGCCCGGAGATAGAGAAATAGAGAAAAATAAGGCCTCCCCTCAACATGCCAATTAGAAGGCTTGGATTCGGTCTGCCTAATCAAGTGAGGCGATGAGCACCTGCGGGCAGCTAGCAGCTTATGAGCTGCAGGTCACCGAAGATAGGCACGAACCAACACTAATAAGTCTCCCCCACAATAAGGCAATGAGAAGGCTTGGATTCGGTTTGCCTGATAGGTCTTGTAAGTCCCCTGCAGGCAGAGCAGAGCATGCGCTGCAGGGCACCGAACACAGGCACGCATCAGCGCCTAAAAACCTCCTCACAACATGGCGAAGAGAGGACCCGGATTCGGTTTGCCTGATGGATAGGACTTGTAAGAGCCTGTGGCAACTCTAGCAAGTAGAGCAGAGTGTGTGCTGCGGGACACCGAAGACAGGCGCGTATCAACGCCAAAAAAATAAAAAGAAAGGGGGATCTGTGGGGAGCAGCTCGGACTAGACTGTTACTGGAATTAAGACTTATTCTATGCATCTGCTCTCCCACAATATGGCACTGGGAGAGAAGTAAACAGCTTCCGCACAGCTGCCTCCAGTTCAACCAATTAACTGTAGGACTTGCTCCTGATTGGAGGAGAGCAGCGTACTCGGCGTGTGGGCAGCCGAGTTGGGATTGGCGGAGGAGGACTATAAAGGAGGAGAGAGACGGCATGCACCAGGAACATCTATGGGGAACATCTAGCTGAAGGGAACCCGTGCAGCCCCCGAGAGAACCGGCCGGCGGTGTGCCGCTCCCCTGCGGAAGTGGGGAATGTGGCCAGGGGGAACTGCCCTTCCACGGAGGTGGAAGGGATAGTAGCCAACCCGGGAAGAACCAGCAGCAAACCCGGGGAGGGCCGAGCAGACGAAAGAACAGCGCAGGGTCCTGTGTCGTTCCTCCACGAAGAGGGGGAGCGACATAATGGTGCCGTGACTCGGATATGAAGCCTAGGCAGGGCTTAGTGTCGTTCCTCCACGAAGAGGGGGAGCGACAAGATTCTCAACGAATTAACTATAATCATTATGACAGTACTACTATTAATAATACTTATTTTATCATTATTTTGCTATTATGTCTGATAAAAATTAAGTCATACTTTAAGATGGGGAAAATCAGTCAAAGAGAGAAAACCAGGAAGATTTCAAAATGTACCACAGGGGCCGGCGCTGTGGCACACCTGGTTAAGCTGCCACTTGTGACACTGGTACCCCATCTAAGAGAGGTTTGAGTAACAGCGGCTTCATTTCTGATCTAGCTCCCTGCTAACATGCCTGGGAAAGCAGCGGAAGATGGCCTGAGTGCTTGCGCCCCTGCCACTCATGAAGGAGACCCGGCTGAGTTCCATGCTCCTGACTGTGGTCTGGCTCAGCCCTAGCTGTTGCAGCCATTTGGGGGGTAAAAAAGATCTTTCTCTCTCTCTCTCTTTCCCCCTCCTTCCCTATCCCTCCCTCCTCTCTCTGTAACTTTCCTTTCAAATAAATATTTTTTTAAAAAGAAAATATATCCACAGCTATCATGGAGCACACCTAGGAAAAGATTCATTGAACACCTATTTAGTGAGATACTTTGTAAGAACCATGGGAGAAATTCCTGACCATTAGGGGCTTAGAATAAAGTCAGAAGGTGAGAGAGAGAACATAAATAACTATGTAGCAGTGATTTGTGATCTGCAAGGTAAGGATTTGTGAAGTTCAGAGTAGACTTTAAAGACCATTTCTTGGGGCAGCCATTTGGCACAGCAGTTAAGATGCCATTTGGGATCCCATATGCTAACGTCCCATATATGAGTGCCTGGGTCCAAGTCCTGACTCTGCTACTGATTCCAGCTTCCTGCTAACATGCATCCTGGCAGACAACAGGTGATGGTTCAAGTAGTTGGGTCCCTGCCACCAGTGGGAGACCTGGATTAGCTTCCAGGCTCCTGGCTGTGGCCTGGCCCTCTCTGGGCTATTGTGGGCATTCAGGGAGTGAACCAGTGGATGGAAGATCGGTGTCTCTCTCTCTACCTTATGAATACATTTTTTAAAAAGCTGTATGATGTTATGGTTATAAAAAAATGAAAAATCATTTCTTGTGAAAGCAAACAGAAATAGGTTTAAAAAAGATAGATGTTGGGAGCTGGCATTGTGATGTAGCAGGTGATACAGCTGCCAGGGACACCACCATCCTAAATGGGTGCTGGTTTGTGTCCTAGCTGCTCCATCCAACTCCCTGCTAATGGCCTGGCAAAAGCAGAGAAAGACAGCCAAATGTTTGGTCCCTGCCACCCATGTGGGAGACCCTGATGAAACTTCTGGCTTTGGCCTGGCCCAGTGCTGGCTGTTGCAGCCATCTGGGGAGTGAACCAGCAGATGGGAGATGTCTCCTCTCTCTCTCTCTCTGTTAACTAATAAATCTTTAAAAAAAAAAAAAAATGTTGACTGAGAACTTTAAACTGGACTTTGGGAGGAGGCAATAATCTAACAGAGAGAGAAGACATTAAAAAGGTGGGGAAGGGCAGGGACTTAGCACAATGTAGAGCACAGAATCAATGAGGAAAACAGTGGGGCAAAACTCAAGACAGTGGGATCCAGACTGCAGTCAGGAGAAGGTTTAGAAGGACTCATTTTGCTTTCTTAATAACAAACGTCCACATGGTTCCAAAAAAGCACAACTCAGTGCAAAGTCTCTTCCATGCCTGTACTCTAGCTCTCAAGTTCCCAGAGTGAAGACAGCTCCATTATCTTCTACTAATCCTGATGTGTGAAAGGCCCAATGTATGCCCATATATGTATTTCTGTAACTTCAGTTTTGAAAGAATAAACAGGTATTACTTTTGTAGTAAAAAAAAAAAAAAGAGAGAGAGAGAGAGAGAAACTCGCACGCAGTTTGGAATTCTAAGCAGTGGGAATGCAGTATAAAACGGCACACAGGAGCTCAGGCTCCTCGTGGGAGTCAGAGAGAAGGAGGAATCCCAGACGTGGCCACCTCATTGTGCCGCATTCTCTACAATGGGCACAAGTGCAATACTTCTCTCAGAGTTGTTACAAAGGTCAAATACGCACAGATAAAGTACTTAGAGCACAATCTGCTGTGATACTTGATAGCATTAAACAAATCAGAGAGAAGTCACTATAATCACTGACAAGTAAGGAAGCTTCAAGAGTCACGTTTTCACATCAGTGGCTCCTTTGTTATTATTATTTTTAAAGATTTATTTATTTGACAGGCAGAGTGACAGAGAGAGGGAGGGAGAGACAGAGTAGATCTGCTGATTTATTCCCCCAATGGCCACAAAGTTAAGGCTGGTCCTGGCAGAAGTCAGAAGCCTGATACCCTGAGGCTCCCAGGGGGTGGCAAGGGTCTAAGTACTTGGGCCATCCTTCCTTCCCAAGCACATTAGCAGGGAGCCTGCTCAGAAGTGGAGCAGCAGGTAATGTGCCTGGGAAAGCAGTGGAAGATGGCCCAAGTACTTGGGCCCCTACAACCATGTGGAAGACCTGGATGAAGCTCCTGGCTCCTGGCTTTGGCCTGGCTCACTTCTGGCCGTTACAGACATTCGGAGAGTGAAACAGCAGATGGATGATCTCTCTCTGTATCTCCTTTTCTCTCTGTAACTGCCTTCCAAATAAACAAATAAGTCTAAAAAAGGGGGGGGGGGGCACTATGGCATAGTGGGTAAAGCTGCCACCTGCAGTGCTAGCATCCCATATGGGTACTGGTTCGAGTCCCAGCTGCTCCACTTCTGATCCGGTTTTCTGCTATGGCCTAGGAAAGCAGCAGAAGATGGCTCAGGTCGTTGGGCCCCTGCACCTGCGTGGGAAACCAGAAGAAGCTCCTAGCTCCTGGCTTTGGATCGGCACATCTCCGGCTGTTGCGGCCAACTGGGGAATGAACCAGTGGATGGAAGACCTCTCCTATCTGTGTAACTCTGACTTTCAAATAAATAAATAAATCTTAAAAAAAAAAAAAGTGGAGCAGCAAGGACTTGAATTGGTACTTGGATTCCAGGGTTTCAAGTGGCACTTACTTGGTTCTTTACTTTCTAAAGAACATGCACTGCTCTGAAAATCAGATGTATCTGCTATGAATGAGTTGCTCTGAAAATGACATGTGTCCCGTATTCTGTACCATATCCCAGAGGCCCATAAATCTTGGACCTTGAGTTAAACACACCTAATCTACAGAACTGCAATTACTAATAATTAAAAAGAATTATTTTAAATGAAAATTATTTTAAATTAGTGATCATTTACTGTAAATGAATGTACTGGAAATTTATTATTACATGCCAAAATCTGCACCAAGTGCTTTATGTGTATTGTTTAATTTAATGCTTCCACTAACTCAGAGATGTAGATAGTATCCTCCTTTTGAAGTGAGGAAACTAAGGCTTAGAAAATTTAAGTGACTTGCACCGCACTAGCATTGGAAAAGCTGGGGTTTGATCAAAAATAACGTTTTTGTTCTATATCTTAGTATATTAATTATGCAAAAAGACAGTATTATAACTGCATTAAAATTAAAAGTCAAAGACCCCCTCCTCCTGAAGCTTACGGACACTTCAATTTTTCTGCAGTCCCAATTTGTACACGACCACACAAAGGCAAAGCTCCTTCTATTTCTATCTGAAGCTGAGAAGCCCAATGGGTGCTGAGTTGGAGCACCTGGATTTAAATCCCTGTTTTCCCACATATGACCTGTATGACCTTGACCAAGGTACTTAACCTTGTGACTACAGTATCTTCCTTACACAGTTGTTGTGAAGTTTAAATTTCAAGCGTACAAAGCAATTAAAACAGACTAATTGTTACGCTGTGATGATTTTGTTATTTGAACCAATTAGTTAGGTTTACAATACACATGTGAAAACAATTTCTTATACTTAAATGACTAGGTTGGTCACTCATAGGCTGTTCCCCATCACAAGGATAAAACCTAAGGAAAGGAAGCTGATGTTAACAGTTTTTAGGTCAATGAGGGCAGTGCTACAGGAAGGAACACCACGCTAGCTCTCAGAATAATAGCTTTATAGCTCTGAACAAATTTCCTCCCCATTGTGTCTTTTACTTCTCCTCTGCTGAGCAAAGTCTTGATTTTATTACTTTGGTGATGACATATCATATTCAAATTCAAACTAAAATTTCCAACTGATGGTTTACTAAGAAGAGCAACTGAAATTTTTAGCCTTAATGGTTGAGGAAAAAAAATAAGCAAAGGAAAAGTTTATATTAAATTGACTCTTAAACAAATTATGATTTTATTTATACATGTGTATCTGAAACACTATAGAAGACACAGAAAACAGAAAATTTTGTTCTTGAAGCTATTTATGGCAATCATAGTATCCATTTAACAGTCAAACCATGGAAACATATATTGGCAGGAATAAATCTATTTTAAAAATCCTTTGGAAAGGAAAGTTTAAAATTTCTTTCTTACTTCTTGAAGCTGATGTTGTATAGATAGGTAAATCTCTTGCTACCCGTCTCAAAATTTCTTGTTGTCTTTCTTGGCTGAATTCCTTTTCATAACGTTCCTTTTCAGAATTTGACAAGTAGAACTATGAAAGGAGAGAGAACTATTAAAAATTTTTAAATGCCATGATGTTAACTATAATTCTTAGAAAAACTGCTATTGACTTTGGAAACGTATATTCATTAAACAAAAGTTAAAAAAAAAAAAAAAAAGAAAAACTGCTATTGAAAACAAAAAATAAAAAAAAAACCCTATTTTGCTTTACTAAGGCAAAATTTGACTTCAAATTTCTTTAAGAAGTAAATCAAATACATTTTAACCAAAAGCATGTACCTTTGACACATTAAAAAATATTTGCCATCTATACTAATAATAGCAAAGACATGAATTAAGTATTTTTGCATCTTTATTTTTAATAGTTAAAATTAAATTCCTCTAAAAGAAAAAAAGGTTTAATATACATTTTCTATTAGTAAAAATATTTTTGTTTAAAAGTTGTTACCAAAAATCTTTCAATTTTTGGAAGAATGTTGAAAGACTTGCTTCCTTTGGAGAACAGGCTAAGTCAAGGTAATGGGGTCCCAGTATCTTCTGGTCAAATATGTCAATGACAGAACAAGTCATTCTTTGATCATTTTTAGGCTTTAGGAAAGCTAACCTGTAGGGATACTTTCTCCAGAACTATCAAAGATTGTCAAGATATGCACATTTTCCTTTCTTCAAGGAGAGATTCCTCTATAGACTTGTTTCATACCTTAGTATTTGTTCTTACTGTGTGGCTAGCCTCCAGTGCATTTTGATAGCATTTTTCTATCATGTAATTGTTTAGCTGCTATTCTTTTCCTATGACATCCCATCATCTCAAAGGCGCTCAGTTTTATGTCTGCATTTCAGGTAGCCAAGAACTTTAAATTTCTATTAGGCTAGGGGCCTGCACTGTGGCATAGTGGGTAAAGCCACCGCCTGCAGTGCCAATATCCCATATGGGCACTGGTTCAAGTCCTGGCTGCTCCTCTTCTTATCCAGAGCTCACCTATGGCCTGGGAAAGCAGCAGAAGATGGCCCAAGTCCTTGGGTCCCTGCACCCATGTGGGAGACCCGGAAGAAGCTCCTGGCTCCTGACTTCGAATTGGCACAGCTCCGGCCCTTGTGGCTATCTGGAGAGTGAACGAGAGGATGGAAGTCCTCTCTCTTCCTCTCTCTCTCTGCCTATGCCTCTCTGTAACTCTGACTTTCAAATAAATAAATCAAAAAAAATTTTTTATTTATTTATAGAAGTTACAGAGAGAGGGAGAGATAGATAGAAAGGTCTTCCACCTGCTGGTTCTCTCCCCAGATGGCCGCAATGGCCAAAGCCGGGTAGAATTGAGGCCAGAGTTTCTTCCCGGTCTCTCACATGGATGCAGGGGCCCAGGCACTTGGACCATCTTCTACTGTTTTTTCAGGCCACAGCAGAGAGCTGGATTGGAAGAGGAGCAGCCGGGCCTACAACCAGTACCCATACAGGATGCTGGCATAGCAGGTGGAAGCTTAGCCTATTATGCCACAGTGCTGGACTCTGAATTTTATATTTTTATATTTTATATATATTTAAGAGTATTTTAGTGTGGTCTACCTGCTAATTCAAATCCCCTCCTCTTGCTGCCCCATCACTGTTAAATGTATTAGCTTCACCATGTAGTCTGTTCTGATATAAATGAGGCTATAGCATGGTGTATAGCTTGAGAGGGCCCTGGGAATTTTCCACAGTTGCAGAATTATTAGCAGAGTTCACAGTAAAATACAGGTCCTTCTGGGTTTTACTCTAGTATGTTTTTTTTCTATACTGCCAATGTAGAATAAGTGCTCTGGCTTTTTAAAGACTGCTACTCTAAGTGGATAAACACTATACTTTAGTAAGTATAAGAGTCTATTTAGATCAGCTCACCTGGCTCCTGCAATCACATGAACAGGACAGAAAGAAGTCAGAACAGATTCACACAACCTAAAGGTCAAAATGACAAACACTGTGGAGGTCACTTGCATAACCTCCCATCACAGAGAGAGGTTCTTCAGACATTTCTGACCTATCCACCCTCTCTTTAATATTTTCAGAGGGAAGAAATACCTTTTTAAAGATTTATTTATTTGAAAGGCAGAGTTAGAGAGAGAGAGAGAGAGAGAGAGAGAGAGGTCTTCCATCAGCTGGTTCACTCCCCCCAAATAGCTGCAATGTCTGGTGCTGGGCCAATTTGAAGGCAGGAGCCAGGAGCTTCTTCTAGGTCTCCCTCATGGGTGCAGGGGCCCAAGGACTTGGGCTATCTTCTACTGCTTTCCCAGGCCATAGCAGAGAGCTGGATTTGAAGTGGAGCAGTCGTGACTCGAACTGGTGCCCATATGGGATCCTGGCACTGCAGGTGGTGGCTACACCACAGCGCCAGCCCCTCATTTTCTTTCAAAAGAAACTTTACTTTAGAAAGTTCTTGCCTGATATGTCTCTGAAACATTCATAGTAAAGTATAAAAATCACATGCTATGATGCTAAGTATGTATTTGGATAGGAGAATTTCTCATCAAACTTTACAGTTTCCTTGTAAAATCTCAACAGATTTCCTTGGGCTGTCTTATTCCTAGCATTCAGGAGCACCCCAACTTCCTTTATCTTTATTTTGATACTTTTACTCAACATCATTGTTTTTCCTTAAGAATCAAGCTTATGGGGCTGGTGCTGTAGCATAATAGGTTTAGTCTCCGCCTGCAGCACTGGCATCCCATATGAGCACTGGTTCAGGTCCTGGATGCTCCACTTCTGATCCAGCTCCCTTCCAATGTGCCTGGGAAAGCAGAAGATGGCCCAAGTGTTGGACCCCTGTATCCATGTGGGAGATCTGGAAGAAGCTCCCACCTCCTGGCTTTGGATCAGCCCAGCTCCTGCCGTTGCGGCCATTTTGGGAATGAACCAGCAGGTGGAAGACCTCTCTCTCTCTGTAACTCTGCCTCTCAAATAAATAAATAAATCTTAAAAAAAAAAAAAAGGGGATCAATCTTACGAAATTATGAAAAACTAAAACTGAATGAAAATTTCAAGAGATACCAGAATTTTAGATGAGAAATGGAATAAAATAAAAAAATTAAAATAGCAGATTTGTCCTAGCACTTAAAATGCTTGCATTCCATATCGGAGTGCTGGGGTTCAAATCCTAGTTCTGCTACTGGTTGTAGCTTCCTGCTAATGTAGACCCTGGGAGGTAACAAGTGATGGTTTGAGTAGTTGGGTCTTTGCCACACCTGTGGGAGACCTAGAGTGAGTTCTTGGCTCCTGGCTTCAGCCTGGCCCAGCCTACCTGTTGCAGGCATTTGAGGAGTGAACCAGCAGATGGCAGCTTGCTCTCTATTTATTTTTAAATAAATAAATAAATAAGTAAAATAGATTAGACTTTTGAAATTAGTACTAAAATTCTATTTTCATTCAAAACTGAAGAGAATTCAAACTACGAAATGTTGTTATTATCTTTAATTTTGGTGTTCAGCTGGTTTCATTTAAATATATATTAAATACCAATTAAGGACCAGTGCTGTTCCTCATATCAGGGATCCAGAGATGAATAAAAACAACCTTTGTCTCCAAAAAGAACATTCCTATGTAGTTAGCTATGTAAACAGTGAATTACAAAATACAAGTCAGCATAAGTATAATATTAACAGTACATTATTATGTATGCTAAATGTTCCCTTGGGTCAGCCTGGAAGCTGTTCTTGAACAACGTGGTGCCTAGCTCATCCACTATTCCTTCACTCAAGTCTACCAAACTGCTGATTAAATAGCAGGCCTCATTCTAGACAATGAGGACACAGCAGTAAACAACAAAGATTTTTCCTTCCGAAACTTAGTGGAAGAACTTATAAAGGTATTGATTTCAATGCTACTTCCTCAGAGAAGACTTCTTTGATTTAACATAGCTTTCTTCCCCCTAAATCAGCTTTTACTGTTATGCTCTGTCACATCTCCATGCTTTCCTAAATTTAACTACTTTTCTAAAATTATCTAAATTTATTATAATTTATAATTATTTTGTTTGCTTGTTCATCACCTCTCTCTCTCTCAAGTGTAAAGAACCTGTCTTGCTCTTCTTTTTATTCTGAGACTAACACTGAGTCCGACATTCAGTAGGTACTCATTGAGTACTTGCTAACTGAAACCAAATCAAAACAAAACTTGTATTTGTAACAGTTTTTCCTTTCTGGAACCTATCAATTCTCCTAGACCTGATCCCCAAGAGTTGCTCTAAACTTTGAGCTAACAAAGTCCTTCCAATATAGTCAGCACTGATCTCACAGGTCTGATATTACTTACGGTGTTAGCTCAGGCAGCACACTGCAAGCTTAGTGAGACTCTTACAATCCTGTCCTTGGTTGTCACTAGAGCTGAGCTTAGTTTGATCCTTGAGGATTTAATAATTAACTCATTCAATAGTTACTGAATGGGGCCGGTGCTGTGGCGTAGCGGGCAGGCTGCCGCCTGCAGTGCTGGCATCCTATATGGACACCGGTTTGAGTCCTGGCTGTTCCACTTCTTGTCCAGCTCTCTGCTGTGGCCTAGGAAAGCAGTAGAAGATGGCCCAAATCCTTGGGCCCCTGCACCTGCATGAGAAGACCGGAGGAAGTTCCTGGCTCCTGGCTTCAGATCACCGCAGCTCCGGCTATTGCAGCCAACTGGGGAGTGAACGAGTGGATGGAAGACCTCTCTCTCTCCGCCTCTCCTTTTCTCTCTGTGTAACTCTGACTTTCAAATAAATAAATCAATCTTAAAAAAAAAATAGTTACTGAACACTCATCATGTGCCAGATAGTGAGAGGTTGTGGAGAACATGATGGAAATGTCCTTGGACAGGGCAAATGGAGCATGTCATAGCATGGCCACTGGACATAGGCTTGGGCAGTCATGAGTGGGGGAGGATGAAGGGTTGAGTGGATGTAAAGGCTTAAGCTCAGAGCTGCAGTATGCCAAAACAACAGCCAAAAAATAAAAGTACATATATTTAGATGGTGCTTATATCCTAGGCATTCTTCTATATTTTTATGTTATTAATTATATGCGCTATTAATTTATTCATTCCTTACAACAATCTCATGGGATATGTACTACTATCAGCCTCACTTTACAGCTAAGCAAAGTGTCCACAGTCACATGCCTAGCAAGTAGCAGAGGCCTAAGCTAAGCCTGGGCAGTTCTGGCTACAGAATCTGAGTTCTTAACCTCTATACTGCTTCTCAAAAGTATTAACAATTTGTTCTTTTTCTATTTTTACTTCCTATAATGAGAACTATTTACTTTTTGCATATGCTATGTTTACAACAGCCATCACTCCTAGTAACTGATTAAATAAAATTAGATGCTTTTGAATTTAGAGATTAAGAAATGGATAACTGTAGCATACTTTTAAGGGCTAATTATTACCAAATTTCTGAAGAATATATACACCTGAAGGAACATTGTTTGATTTATGGTTTACCTATTAAAACACAAGCATCCAGTGAAAAACTGGCATATCCACTTAGTTTTTTTGAAATGTACACATAATGCATGATATAGCAGTTCTACTCTTAAGCATCTCTCCAAAAGAACTACGTATACGTCCCCCCAAGAGACATGCACTGGAATGTGTACAGCAGCCCTATTTGTAACAGCTCTAAACTGGAAGCTACTCAAATGTCCATCAACAGTAGACCCAGTAAATAAAGTGTGTTACACATACACCACAGTTGAAAATCAAACGTGGATGAATGATCCACAATTATATGCAACAACAGGGATGAAGCTCATAAACAGAATGTTAATGAAAGAAGCCATACACGTAAGCATATATCACTATGATCGTTACACGACTATACGTGCTACCTACTATATATTAAGTACAAAAACAGGCTAAACTAATTTCTGCTGTTAGAAGGCTGGAAAGTGGCTTTTTCTAGAATGGGTGACAAGAAGAAAGCAGGAGGGAGCTGATGGGATGCTAGCACGGTTCTGCCTCTTAAACTGGGTTGGGTGGTGGTTACATAGTTTGTGAAACTCCGAGTTTTATGACGTGTATACTTTTCTGCATATATGTTCTTCATTACAAACTTAACTGGAAGTTGATATTAGTTTTAATCACATGGTCTATAATGTTAAATATATTTTCATAAATTTAATACGAAGGGAAACAACATTATTTACCATCATTTGATATATATATGAGTGCCAATCTTGTAGTAGCTAATATATTAAAACCTTTACTTAGACAAATCTTATTTACTCCTCACAAACATCTTTTAGAGACAGGCACGATTGTTAGCTCCATTTCTGATGACAAAACTGAATGTGCTAAAACAGAAAATCAAAAGACAATTCTAACTCTAGAGAACATACTCTTAACCATTTGCGATAATAAATTTATAGTGGGAAGAATTTAGACAGCTATGTCAAGGCCAAGAGAGACATTCAAGTCCTAAAACTCACTCCACAAAAAATGTTTACCTACATTGTTTTACAATGAGACTTCCAATTAGAAGAAACACTAGTCACTATAAGGTGGGACAAGCAATAGCTAGACAGTTTGTTTTCCACAATCAAAATATTTTCTTTTGTTGTTCGTGCCTAACATAATTGTTATTAGGCATAATTGTTCATCCTAACAAAATATAAATGTTAAGAGGGTTTCTAAAAATAAACTCTACTTTTACTTCTTTAAGAAAACATAGCATGGCAGGAAATTCTTCATCTATAGTTAAACTTATACCATGTTATGTCAGGGGATTGTATCTGAGAATAGGCTAATGACTCACATTCACAATACGGAGTTACCAAGCAATTTTATGAACAGAAACAGAACAAATGTATTATGTAAAGTTTTAACAAAGGTAACACAAGGGAAAATAATTCCATATTCAGTTAAAGCATTTGGTAATTTACCAACATTAAATTTACCTCTTTGGAGGGGGTAGCGGGAGACGTGAAAATTGTCATCCAATAGGACCATACAAACATAACAAAGAACAGATGGAAAGCCACAAGGTAAACAACGGTCTTTCCTGGTAAATAAAAGCAAATAACATTTCATTGAATCCAAGTGAAAACAGGAAAAAGCATTACATTAAAACATAATATTTGGGTCTAGAGGCCTAAATCCAATAAAAAATGGAATTAAAACCTATCAAAACATCAAATATACAAACTTTATCTGCATGATATAACATTAATAGACATGAAGAAATAGTCTTATCAGTCTGATTTACAAGAAAATACTACAGCCTGAGATGAAATCTGATCTCATTAAGTTGATGAACACTTAAGCTAAAACACTTCCTTCACTCACTGTAGTTCAAGCACTCCCTAAAGTTAATGTTTAATGACTTAAAAATTATTTAAAACAGAATCCATCACCATGAACATTAAATCTCAGGAACTGTAAACTGAAAGTAAATAAAGTCACCATTACCATGAATAATGAGTAAATAACCAAATTCCTGCATTGCTCAGAAAAAATATCCTAAATTTCATTCTCTTGTTCAACAAAGCTAACAAGAAAAATGTTTAGTGACTTTAAATTTTTACCATAATTATTTCCCAAAGGGATCAGTGTAATACTCCAACATCTTCATCTTCAAATGTTAACTCACTGATGTAACTTTAAGCTTTTTGTCGTGCAATGTAGTTTTTCTATTTGTAAGGAACAGGACTTGTTTCCACAAGCATGAACTATCTACCAGCTGCTTAAATTCTTTCAGTTTGGCACGCAGCACCACAAACACACTACAGATAACACAGACAAGCATTAAAGTATGAGATTCTGTGCATTTTAAAGTTCAGCTCCAATACTACTTCTTCCACAAAAATATTCTACAATTACATTTTGGGATTCATTACCTCTTCAAACTGCATACCCCAAATAATTTGCTTAGACTTTAATTAAAGTTCTTGCTTCAAAAGAGTTAGCTGCTTACTATGCAAAACACTTAGAGTAATGCCTAGCACATAATAAATCATCAATAAATACTAGCTCTTCAGGCATCTTACTTCTTTTTTTTTTTTTTTTTTTTTTTGACAGGCAGAGTGGACAGTGAGAGAGAGAGACAGACAGAGAGAACGGTCTTCCTTTTGCCGTTGGTTCACCCTCCAATGGCTGCCACGGCCGGCGCGCTGCGGCCGGCGCACCGCGCTGATCCGATGGCAGGAGCCAGGAGCCAGGTGCTTTTCCTGGTCTCCCATGGGGTGCAGGGCCCAAGCACCTGGGCCATCCTCCACTGCACTCCCTGGCCACAGCAGAGAGCTGGCCTGGAAGAGGGGCAACCGGGACAGAATCCGGCGCCCCGACCGGGACTAGAACCCGGTGTGCCGGCGCCGCTAGGCGGAGGATTAGCCTAGTGAGCCGCGGTGCCGGCCAGGCATCTTACTTCATAACATTTGGTGCTTTTTGTACATTCCCTATTCCAGTGCTTCTCAAGTTTAAATAGTGGTAGTTTTCACTGAACTGTAGGAAAATGAGAAACATTAAAAACATCGTAGTGAAGCTTTTATAAAGCTAACATGCATTCAATTTGAAGTACTCTCCTTCCTTCTGCCTGATGTTATCTTCCTTACATTTTTGGTTTTAAAAAGTCCATTCTTTTAAAAAATTATGATAAATAATTGAAAACCCCACTGGAACCCAGCATTTTATTTTGAAATTGTGCTGGCCTATTCCTGATTTCTGAGGCTTAGAAACCCCAGTCACACAGTTAACAGATGCTCAAGTGATTCTTCATCCCTCACAGCTAGCCAGCACAAATACTTCCAGTCCTGGTGCCTAAAATTGAACTCATCTTCACTGTCAGTACACAGCCCATAAATTGTTGCCTAGCTCATCCAAACTGATGCAAAGGCCATTTGGTCTCCTCACTTCCAGTCTTTGTTCCAATCCATCCTCTATGGACAATGTGAGATGTGCTGCTCATAGTTCCTTCTCACTCTTCACTGTGAAATTCCTGAAGATAACTCTAGCTTCCTGATAAATACATCCCAACAAAACTCCCCACCATACACTGCTGGTTACACAGTCACCTGGAAGACATATCGTATGTGCCTCATGTCCAACCCTCAAAGTCAAGTAAAGCATTCTTCCAGTTTACAGATGTAAACACTGAGCCTCACAGGATTTAGTATTTTGCATGATAAAACCAGAATTGAAACATATCTGCTTAAAAAAATCCAAAATTCTTTGCAATATGTCATCCCTAAGATTATGTTTTCCTCTACTTTTTGAACCATCATCTTAATGGTCAAATTCTACTTCTAAGCTGGCATCAGATGCCAGGATAAAATTCGAACTACAATTTTCTTTGATTTTCAAATGTGCTCTTTTCACTTCCACTAATGTTGTTATGCACATTGAAAATTCTGATTTCTCAAATCTGCATTTTCTATCCTATCAGTTCCCTCAAGGTTGAACCCTGTAGTATATCCAACAGACTCAAAATCATTGCGTGGTTTGTTTTCATCTTATTTATTTATTTTTTAAAATATTTGCTTATTTATTTGAAAGAGTTACAGAGAGAACTGGAGAGACAGAGAGAGAGATCTTCTATCCACTGGTTCACTCCCCAGATAGTCAGGGCTGGGCCAAGAGTCAGGAGCTTCATCTGGGTCTCCTACATGCAGGGGCCCAGGCACTTGGGCCATCCTCCTCTGTTTTCCCAGCCCATGAGCAGGGAGCTGGACCAGAAGTGGAGCAGCTGGGACTTGAACGGGTGCCCATATGGGATGCCAGTGTCACAGGTGCATCTTTACCTGCTACACTACAATGCTAGATCCTGTTTGGTTTGTTTTTCCTTTACACAAGCACTTAGCAGCTCAGCTGCCTACTGCTGCACAACACTGAGGCTGACTCTGAGGCCACTGAGTGACTGTGCAGATGTTACCTTCAGGAACCTCCCTTTATCTATACTTATGACTGACATCCATATTTAATCGAGCGTGCCATTCCTCACCTATACACTGAGGTAAAGAGTACCCCTGACATATTTAAACTTTATAATTTATCTACAACTAAGAGCAGTATGTGAAACAAAGCATATAGGCTTCAAGCATTTAAAAAATTAATATCTAATATGTTTCTAATATTTTTGCTCTCCATGAAAGCAAAACAAGACAATTTGCTTTAAAATAAAATATACTACCACTTATTTCAATAAAAAATTGATAAAATTAAGTTCTTAGTACCATGCCTAGAGTATAGAATTCAACAGGTGATAATTATTAAATTATGAGTGAACAATAGAAGATATTGCTTTTAACTAAGTTCAAATTAATGTGATTGATAATAGGCAAATTGCTGTTCATATATATATATATATATATATGCCATAAACCACTGGTTGTAAACAACATGGAAAATCTTATTTACTAATAAGCAAATTAAGTCAAAGCTGAGAGAAAAATCTGAATTTATAAATCAAGAAATCTATATTCATAAATCACATTGAATTAAAAAGCTAACAAAAAAACTTTGTTCAAAGTTTCTTTAAGAGGCATATTAGGAACAGCCCTAAGAGACAATACAAGTGAAAAGTCCTATAGGAACTTCTGAAATTCTCTGCTTTAAACACACAGGGAACAGTGCCAGCTTAAAGAAAGAAACAAGAGGGGAGCAGTAGTGGATGCCTGTGATGCCAGCAGACCATACGGGTGCTGGTTCAAGTCCTGGCTGCTTAATTCGATTCTACCTCCTCTACTAATGTACTTGGGGAAACAGCAGAAAGTGGCTTGCATACTTGGGCTGCTGCATCCACGTCAGAGACCTAGTTATTTGGGCTCCTGGCTAGGCTCTGGCTTTTGTAGCCATCTGGGAAGTGAATCAGTAGATGGAAGATTTCTTTCTCTCCCTTTGTCCCTCTGACCTTCAAATAAATAAAGTATATCTAATAATAAATAAATAAAAAAATAAAAAGAAGAAAGAGCTTACCAAGACTGAGTTTATGTTTACTCTGTTACTGAAAAGTTAGAGTAAAAAGGCAACTTGAGATATAAATGCTTTATGCTTAATAATAATAATAATAATAATTTCTAACTTCAACTATTTTAGAACCTCTGGATTTTTGTCAAATCAAATTTTATTTTTAAAATGTGATCTCAATAAACTTTAGAAATTTTTTATCCTGATGAATTTTGATATGAAGTTTTGATAATTTTTTTCCCTCTATGACTAGCTACTAGAAAAATTTTAGTTTCCTTGAACTAATAATAAAATTTTCAAATCTGTAGTCTGGTTATTTTTATTAAATGTATGTGAGTAGTGAAGTATTATTTTTAACAAATGTTATTTTTAACAAAACATCAATTAAATTCATGAGAGCAAATTCTCTTTCTCAACCTAGCTGGGTATGACATTAACAACCTGAATGAGTTCTGGAGAATAAATAAAGCAGGCAAATCTAAATAGGCATACAAAAATACAAACATTTGAGTGCTAGGTATTTCACATAATAATGGCTACTTCAATATATATATATATAATACAAACTGAGAACATACTAAATGTCTAAGAAGAAACCCAATATTATATCTCCTTTTAATTACATAAGTTTTAAAGATATATATTTCTGAAAAGCAAAAATCACATGTGCTCATCAATAAGTAGAAAGTATGTGGGTGGCAACTAAGATACCATAAGGATTATTCTACTTTATTAAAATGAGACTAAAAATGACTTACCATTTTCTTCATTTCCAGAAATAGTAACTAGAATAGAAGAAAAAAGAGTGAATAAGTATATTTTGAACATTTTGTACTAAGCTTTGAGTTGAATATTCATCTTAATATAATTTTCATAAAAATAAAGTTGGGTTATAAAATATAAACACCACTGTAAAGTTAGAATTGTTCTTGAAAAATTTTCAAAAACACTGAAATACTAAAAAAATTCCTTATCATTAATACAGTTACATTTAAAAATTTCTGTAGACTTTTGTTAATTTCAAATATGTCAACAAGGTTATATAGTTGTGATATCTTCTTTAGCTCTTTTCTTAATGATACCTGCAGAATGAACAGCGCTGTCCTTTATGGCACTCAAACTTATTCATCAGTCTATGATGTACTCTAGTGACCTTTTGGTGAAACATGTACTCAAGACAAATCTTTCTCTTTTTAACTGACACATAATTGTGCATATTTACATGGTAGAATGTGATAACTGAATCCATGTACTCAAGGACCGACCTCAAATCAGGGTAATTAACATTTCCAACTAAGCTGTATTTGGAGCCTTAAAATTCTTCTCTTCTAGTTCTTTGTAAAGTATACACTAAGCTGTAAACTATAGTTGCTCTACTGTGCTATAGAACACTAGAATTGATTTCCTCCTATCCAACTATATTTTGGTACCTGTTATCCAGCAACTATTTCTTTTTAGAAAGCTTTTATTTAATTTTTTTTTTTTTTTTTTTTTTTTTTGACAGGCAGAGTGGACAGTGAGAGAGAGAGAGACAGAGAGAGAAAGGTCTTCCTTTGCCGCTGGTTCACCCTCCAATGGCCGCCGCTGCAGCCGGCGCACCGCGCTGATCCTGGCAGGAGCCAGGAGCCAGGTGCTTTTTCCTGGTCTCCCATGGGGTGCAGGGCCCAAGCACCTGGGCCATCCTCCACTGCACTCCCTGGCCATAGCAGAGAGCTGGCCTGGAAGAGGGGCAACCGGGACAGAATCCGGCGCCCCAACCGGGACTAGAACCCGGTGTGCCGGCGCCGCAAGGTGGAGGATTAGCCTATTGAGCCACGGCGCCGGCTTAGAAAGCTTTTATTTAATAAATATAAATTTCATAGGTACAGCTCCAGCAACTCTTTATTCCCGTCTCTACTCCCCTTCCTCACCTTGGGTAATCACTATTTGCTCTCTTCTTTAAGCCCAACTTTCTTAGTTTTCACGTCTGAGAATATGCATTAGGCAAATTTATTTTTTATAGAAAAAAGTAAAAATTATACCTGTAATTTAAAGAGAGTATTTTTTCTCTGAATACTCAAATATTTAAAAAATTAGTCTAAGTATAGAAAAGTTAATTCAGTGTTTCTTCCATCTTGTATACTATTTCAATTCAACAACCGTATCAGTTCACCAAGTCCAAACCCCTGAGAATTGCTACTTACTCTTACTCCCGACCCCAGCCCTGGAGGGTCCAATGGCCTCTAGGTCCTATTGACTCTACTAAGTCTCTTTCAAATGTGTCACCTCTTCTTCAATTCCTCCCTTCCCTCCTCTGCCTTCCTTAAATGCAATAGTTTGAGCTGTCTTCCTACTATCAGTGTAACACACACCTCACCACCAGCAAATCTGATGGTTGAATACCCTCTAACACTTCTGAGTCACTTTCAGAATGAAGTCCAAAATCTTTAGGGTAGCTAACTATAGGTCCTCTGCCATCTATAATGTGTCTACTTCTCCAGTCTGTTATTTGCCGATATCTCTAGTCTAATTATTCTGAATAAATACTTCAAGTAGTTTCACATTTACTGTGTCCCTCCCCAGTTCTCTCCCTGTAGAGTCTAGTCTGAATCCTAGCTCCCGTGTAAAACCTTCCTGAGTGTCTCTTTAGGTATCACTACTGCTCACTCTTCCATCTCTGCCATATCATTCCTCTCTATTTGAAATTACTGCCTTTTTTTTTTTTTTTTAATTTGAAAGAGTTACAGAGAGAGAGAGAGAAAGAGAAAAGTCTTCCGTCCGCTGGTTCACTCCCCAGATGGCCGCAACAGCCGGAGCTGCACTGATCCAAAGCCAGGAGCCAGAGGCTTCCTCCGGGTCTCCCACACGGGTGCAGGGGGCCCAAGGACTTGAGCCACCCTTTACTGCTTTCCCAGGCCATAGCAGAGAGCTGGATAGGAAGAGGAGCAGCCGGGACTAGAACTGGCGCCCATATAGGATGCTGGCGCTTCAGGCCAGGGTGTTAACCCACTGTGCCACAGTGCCAGCCCCTGAAATTACTGTTTTTATTAAGATTCATTTTAAAAATATGAGAGGCATACTGACAGGCAGGGTCTGTGTGTGTGTGGGGGAGACAGAGAGAAAGGGATCTTCCATTGGCTTATTCATGTCCCCAATGGCTGCCAAAAACTGGTGCTGGGCCAGGCTGAAGTCAGGAGTCTGGAACTCCATCCACATCTCCCACATATGTAGAGGGGACCAAGTACCTGGACCACCCTCCAACTTTTTTCCCAGGCACATCAGCAGGAAGCTGGATTAAAAACAGAGTAGCTGAAACTTGAACCAGCACTATAGTAAGGGATGCCAGCATCATAAGCAACATCTTAATCCACTGTGGTACATCGCTGGTCACTGCAATTAGCGCTTTTTTTTTTTTAAGATTTATTATTTATTTGAAAGTCAGAGTTACACACAGAGAGGAGAGGTAGAGGTAGAGGTAGAGGCAGAGGCAGAGAGAGAGAGAGAGAGAGAGAGAGAGAGTCTTCTATCTGCTAGCTCATTCCCTAAGTGGCCACAACAGCCAGAGCTGCATGGATCTGAAGCCAGGAGGCAGGAGCTTCTTCTGGGTCTCCCATGTGGGTGTAGGGGCCTGAGGACTTGGGCCATCTTCTACTGCTTTCCCATGCCATAGCAGAGAGCTGGACTGGAAGTGGAGTAATTAGTTTTCTTAATTTGAGAGAAAGAAACAGTAAGCTTCCCCATCTGCTGGTTCAAACTCCTCAAAGTCCGCAATAGTTGGAGCTCAGCTGAGGCTGAAACTGGGAGTCAGGAAGTCAATTCAAGTCTCCAATGTAGGTGGCAAGAACTCAATTCCTTCCTCCCTTCCTCTTTCTCTATTCCTTCCTTCCTTCCTTCCTTCCTTCCTTCCTTCCTTCCTTCCTTCCTTCCTTCCTTCCTTCCTTCCTTCCTTCCTTCTTCCTTCTTTCGTTCCTTCCTTCCTTTTTCTTTCTCTCTCTCTCTTTCTTTCTTCATTCTTTCAAAAGCTTTTATTAACAGTCTGCACCCACACAGACACACAAAGTATAAAGTACTGTTTGAAGACAAGTTTTACAGTTAATTCTCATAGTACAACTCATTAAGGACAGAGGTCCTACATGTGGAGCACGTGTAGTATTCAATAGAGTAATATCCCATAATTTCTTTATGAAATTATAATAAACGTGCATTTAGGTTGATTCCGTGTCTTAGCTATTGTGAATTAAGCTGCAATAAACATGGAGGTGCAGATAGCTCTTTTATTTGCCAATTTAATTTCCCTTGGGTAAATTCCGAGGAGTGGGATGGCTAGATTATATGGTAGGGCTATATTCAGATTTCTGAGTTATCTCCAAACTGTCTTCCATAGTGGCTTTAACAGTTTGCACTCCCACCAACAGTGGATTAGTGTACCTTTTTCCCCATACCCTAGCCAGCATTGATTTCTGTATGAAAGCCATTCTAACCAGGGTGAAGTGAAACCTCATTGTGGTTTTGATTTGCATTTCCCTGATGACTAGAGATCCTGAGCATTTTTTTCATGGGTCTATTGGCCATTTGGATTTCCTCTTTTGAAAAATGTATGTTTAAGTCCTTGGCCCATCTCTTTAGTGGGTTGTTTGTTTTGTTGTGTGGAGTTTCTTGATCTCTTTGTAGATTCTGGTTATTAATCCTTTAACAGTTGCATAATTTGCAAATATTTTCTTCCATTCTGTCGGTTGCCTCTCACTTTCCTGTTTCTTTTGCAGTACAGAAACTTCTCAATTTGATATAATCCCAATTGTTAATTTTGGCTTTGGCTGCCTCTGTCTCTGGGGTCTTTTCCAAGAAGTCTTTGCCTATGCCAATATCTTGCAGGGTTTCTCCGATGTTCTCTAATAAGCTGGTGGTATCAGGTCATAGATTTAGCTCTTTAATCCACTGTAAATGGATTTTTGTATAAGGTGTAAGGTAGGGGTCTTGCTTCATATTTCTGCATGTGGAAATCCAGTTTTCCCAGAACCACTTATTGAAGAGACTGTCCTTGTTCCAGGAATTGGTTTTAGTTCCTTGATCAAATAAATATAAGTTGGTTGTAGATGTTTGGATTGATTTCTGGTGTTTCTATTCTGTTCCATTGATCTATCCATCTGTTCATCTGTTTTTGTACCAGTACCAGGCTGGTTTTGTTCTTGTTTTTGTTTTTGTTTTTTTGACAGGCAGAGTTAGACAGTGAAAGAGAGAGACAGAGAGAAAGGTCTTCCTTCTGTTGGTTAACCCCACAATGGCCACTACGGCTGGTGCGCTGTGGCCGGCGCATTGTGCTGATCTAAAGCCAGGAGCCAGGTGCTTCTTCCTGGTCTCCCATGCGGGTGCAGGGCCCAAGGATTTGAGCCATCCTCCACTGCCTTCCCGGGCCACAGCAGAGAGCTGGACTGGAAGAGGAGCAACCGGGACAGAATCCGGTGCCCCGACCGGGACTAGAACCCAGGATGCTGGTGCCGCAGGCGGAGGATTAGCCTAGTGAGCTGTGGCGCCGGCCATCAGGTTGTTTTGAATATGACTGCCCTGTAGTTATGTCTTGAAATCTGGTATAGTGATGCCTCTGACTTTGTTTTTGTTATATAAGATTGCTTTAGCTATTTGAGGTCTCCTGTGCCTCCATATGAATGTCAGCATCATTTTTGGAAGAATTCAATTTCTTGAGCCATCACTGCTACCTCCCAGGACCTACTTTATTAAGAAGCTGGAGTGAGGAGCCAGAGGTAATGAACCCAGGCTTTCTGATATAGCATGTGGGCATTCTAAATGG